CAGGTGCAGCAGGCGAATCAGGTGCGGCAGGTGAATCAGGTGCGGCAGGTGAATCAGGTGCGGCAGGTGAATCAGGTGCGGCAGGTGAATCAGGTGCGGCAGGGGAATCAAGTGTGGCAGGTGAATCAGGTGCGGCAGGTGAATCAGGTGCGGCAGGTGAATCAGGTGCGGCAGGTGAATCAGGTGCGGCAGGTGAATCAGGTGCAGCAGGTGAATCAGGTGCAGCAGGTGAATCAAGCAGAGCAGGCAAATCAGGCGCTGCAGCAGCAGTTTCAGGCACAGCAGGTGAGTCCACTTGGGTGGGAGTGGCAGAGACAGGAGAGGAGGTAGCACTGAGAGGAGCAGCTGCTTCATCCCCAGCTGGCAAATGAGGTGCCGCAGGAGAATGAGGTACAGTTACTGCAGAAGCTGCGTCCGAAAGTGACTCAGCATGCGAATCAGCATCAGAATGTGATTCAGCATCAGAACATGACTCAGCATCAGAACGTGACTCAGCATCAGAACGTGACTCAGCATCAGAACGTGACTCAGCATCAGAATGTGATTCAGCATCAGAATGTGATTCAGCATCAGAACGTGACTCAGCATCAGAATGTGACTCAGCATCAGAACGTGACTCAGCATCAGAACGTGATTCAGCATCAGAACGTGACTCAGCATCAGAACGTGACTCAGCATCAGAACGTGACTCAGCATCAGAATGTGATTCAGCATCAGAACGTGACTCAGCATCAGAACGTGACTCAGCATCAGAATGTGATTCAGCATCAGAACGTGAGCTCAGCATCAGAGCGTGACTCAGCATCCGAATGTGACTCAGCATCATAAGAGCGTGACTCAGCATCATCAGAATGTGACTCGGCCTCCTCATGCTCCTCCTTAGCCTCCTTCACCTCTTTAGCTTCCTCACTCTCCTCACTCTCCCCAGCTTCTTCACTCTCCTTACCCTCCTCACTCTCCTCTCCTCTCCCTCCTCCGCCCCCAACAGCTCCCTGCCCTCCACTGCTCCCAGCATCCCCTCACCCTCCTCGTCCGCTGCCGCCCCATCCACCCCTGCAAGCACCGCGACAGCCACAACTGCCGCCCCACCCATCACTACAGCCTCTACTTCAACGTCCTGCAGCCTTGCTTTATCATCACTACCCCCATCTTCCTCCGCACTCTCTGCTTTCTCACTCCCCCTCTCTTCCTCCTCTTTCTCTACATCCTCACTCCTTGTCTCTTCCTCCTCCCTCTCTGCTTCCTCACACTCCTTGTCTCTTCCTCCTCCCACTCTGCTTCCACACTCCTTGTCTCTTCTTCCTCCCTCTCAGCCTCCACACTCCTTGTCTCTTCCTCCTCCCTCTCAGCATCCTCACTCCTTGTCTCTTCCTCCACCCTCTCTTGTTCCGGTGCAGAGTCAACGTCAGAGTTTGATCCTGGTGGCGATGGCAGAGCTGAAGCTTCACAGTCAGACGCATGCAGAGCCACGTCAGCAGCCACATCAGCTTCTGGTGCAGAGTCAACCTCAGAGTCTGGTCCTGATGGGGATGGCAGTGCTGCAGTCTCACCTCCAGCCGCACACGGTGCCACATCAGACGACACGTCAGCAGCCACATCAGCGGCCACGTCAGCAGCCACATCAGTTCCGAAAGAAGAGTCAGACTCGGAGTCTGATCGTGATGGAGATGGCACCACTGCAGTTTCACCTCCAGGCACTCGCAGAGCCATGTCAGCAGCCACATCAGCCGCCACGCCACAGCACATCAGCACCATGTCAACAGACACAGCAGCCATGTCAACAGACACATCAGCAGCCATGTCAACAGACACATCAGCAGCCATGTCAACAGGCACATCAGCAGCCATGTCAACAGACACATCAGCAGCCATGTCAACAGACACATCAGCAGCCACGTCAGAATCAGAGTCAGGTTCAGAATCTGGTCCCGAAAATACATCTGCTTTCTCCTGTTCTGCTTCCACCTCCTCGGCCTCTCCTCTCGTCTGCAGCACAGGTGCAACCAACTCACTTGCCAGCAGCAAACTAGCACCTCCAGCTGCATCCAGAGCCACCTCAGCTGCCACATCAGCATCCACCTCAGCTGCCACATCAGCAGCATCTTTGATGCTGGTGGCTGACCCCTCTGGAGAAGATGGTCTGGAATCGCCCTCCACGTCCACATCAGCAGGGGGTGCCACGTCAGCAGCTGATACCACATGTGCAGACTGTTCCTTATCAGCAATCGCATCATCACCACCAGCAGGTAATTCTGACTTGTCACCTGCTTTGACCTCAGCTGCGTGCTTCATGTCCACAGGTTGCACCACATCAGCAACTTGCGCCACATCAGCAGCCTGCGCCACGTCAGCAGAAGAGTCCACAACTGCAGCGGAATTCAAAGATGCCTGCTGTTGCTGCTGTGGAGGTGTGAGGGGAGCCTCAGAGGCCTGCTGCTGTTGCTGCTCCTCCGGCTGCTGCTGCTGGAAGCGGTTGAGGAAGTCACTCTGCAGTCGCCCCACCGCTGCAGTTTGTGGGGGAGGAGAGGCGGCAGGCGCAGGAGCCAGTGCTGCGCTCGCCATGCCTGCCCTCCAGGCTCGGATGGGCACAGCTTGGGCGCAGGTTCGGAGTCGGACCAGTCAGAGTCCGAGCCTGAGTCGGAGTGGGAAGAAGGCTGTGCTGGGCGGATCCAAGAATTAGCAGGGCGGGAGGAAACAGAGGGAACAGAGGAAACGCTAGGGGCAGTGGAAGCACTAGGGGCAGAGGGGACGGCTGAAGCTGAGACAGACGGGACGGCTGAGCTGGGGGCATTGGGTGAGACGGTTGAGGTGGGGGGAAAGAGTGAGGGGATGCCAGAACAACAAGATGGGCGGTGGAGACGGGAGGCTCGTCTGGTGTTGCAGTGCTTGCCATCGTGGCCTCTGGCTCTGCCCTGCCTGCTGCTGCACCTTCTGTGATTTCCTTTGACTCAGAAGATGCATCTGCTGCAACGCCACTGCCACTGACCTCTGCTGCTGCACCTTCTGTGATTTCGTCCCGCTGAGGCATCTCCGTGGCTTTACTCGCCTCTTCTTGAGAATTCTCAAAAATACCCTGAGGCGTCTCCTCGGCTGCACTCGGCTCTTTCCTGCTCTCGCCCTCAGCCCCTGTCTTACCTCAGCCCTCCTTGGACTCTTATTCTCACTCTCAGAACTTTTCTCACTTTCACTCTCGCTGTCAGCCCCCTTTCACTCGCACTCTCACTCTCAGACCCCTTACCACTTTCATTCTCACTCTCAGCCCCTTTCTCACTCTCAGGCCCCTTTCTCACTCTCAGCCCCTTTCTCACTCTCAGCCCCCAACCCACTTGCACTCTCAATCTCAGACCCCTTCTCACTTTCACTCTCACTCTCAGCCCCCCTCTCACTTGCACTCTCACTCTCAGACCCTTTCTCACTTTCACTCTCACTCTCAGCCCCTTCTCACTTGCACTCTCACTCTCAGTCCCCCTCTCACTTCCACTCTCACTCATACTATCACTCTCACTGTCCCTTTCACCTTCACTCTCCCTCTCACTCATGCTCTTACTCCCCCTCTCACCTTCACTTTCACTCTCCCTCTCACTCATGTTCTTACTCTCCTTCTCACCTTCACTTTCACTCTCTCTCTCACTCATGCTACCACTCTCCCTATCACTCATGCTTTCACTCCCACTCTCACTCCCATCGTCCACTTCACTCCCTTCTGCATGTGCATCTCTGGTCTCGCCCTCCACCACTCCCTCCTTTTCTTTAACCACCACTCCCTCCTTTTCTCCCTCCACCACTCCCTCCTTTTCTTTAACCACCACTCCCTCCTTTTCTTTAACCACCACTCCCTCCTTTTCTCCCTCCACCACTCCCTCCTTTTCTCCCTCCACCACTCCCTCCTTTTCTCCCTCCACCACTCCCTCCTTTTCTTTAACCACCACTCCCTCCTTTTCTCCCTCCACCACTCCCTCCTTTTCTTTAACCACCACTCCCTCCTTTTCTCCAACCACCACTCCCTCCTTTTCTTTAACCACCACTCCCTCCTTTTCTTTAACCACCACTCCCTCCTTTTCTCCCTCCACCACTCCCTCCTTTTCTCCCTCCACCACTCCCTCCTTTTCTTTAACCACCACTCCCTCCTTTTCTCCCTCCACCACTCCCTCCTTTTCTTTAACCACCACTCCCTCCTTTTCTCCCTCCACCACTCCCTCCTTTTCTTTAACCACCACTCCCTCCTTTCTCCAACCACCACTCCCTCCTTTTCTTTAACCACCACTCCCTCCTTTTCTTTAACCACCACTCCCTCCTTTTCTCCCTCCACCACTCCCTCATCCACTCCCGCATCAACTCTCACCATCCTGTCCTCTTCCTCCTCCACCCTCCCTCCTTCAGCTACACCCTCGGTCAGTTCCTCTCTGTGCAAATTCTCCACTTCCTCACGTCCCTGCTGCTCCCTCTCCCCATCCTCTTCCCTCTCCTCCTCCGATCTCACCTCCGCCTCCCTCTCCTCCCACTCGTCCTCCCTCTCCTCCTTCTCCTCCTCCTTCTCCTCCTCCCTCTCCCCCCACTCTTTCTTCTCCTCCTGCTCCTCTTTCTCCTCCTCCTGCCCCTCTTCCCTGCCCACATGCTCCTCACTCTCACCAACTGGCAGATTCACCTCCCCTTCCATGTTTCCTGCTGCTGCTGTGCTGCTTCCTTGCAGACCCTCTTTTCCCTCTCTCTCCTTATCCTCTCCCTCCTCCTCCCCCACTCTTCCAGCCTCCTCATTCTTTCCATCTTCGTCCTCCTCTCTCCCCATTCCAACCTCCTCCCCCACCGTCCCAATCTCCTCTCCCTCACTACCTTCACCCTCCCGATTCTCTCTGTCCTCCACCTTACCCTCACTCTCTCCATCCACCTCGCCAACCCCCTCACTCCCTCCCTCACTCTCTCCCTCTACACCTCCAGACCCCACATCATCCTCCTCCCACTCACCCACACCGGACCCCACATCACTCCACTCCTCGCTCTCCCAGTCACTTCCTGCCACCAGCCCATCCGCCTGTGCTGCTACCACCACACCTCCCACAGCCAACACTTGATTCGACTCAAACCTCGCCTGTGCTTCTGACACGCCTGCCACAGCCAGTACAGCGACTGTCGCCAGCTCATCAGCCTGTGCTACCACCACTCCTCCCACAGCCGGAGTAGAGACTGCAGGCAACGTCCTCTGGGCCATGAGCGTTACCGGAGGCTCCATTGATTCCATTTCCTCTGCATTGATTGCACTTGCTACCGAGCCTTGCTCTTGCATTCTGCCGTCTGCATTTTCCAAGGCCATTGCATCCTCTTCCTCTGCTACCGTGCCTTGCTCTTGAGTTCGGCCACCTGAATCGCCAAGGGCCATCGATTCCACTTCTTCTGCTCTTGCATCGCCAGCATCACTGGTTACCACATCACCAGCATCACTGGTTACCACATCACCAGCATCACTGGTTACCACATCGCCAGCATCACTGGTTACCACATCACCAGCATCACTGGTTACCACATCGCCAGCATCACTGGTTACCACATCACCAGCATCACTGGTTACCACATCGCCAGCATCACTGGTTACCACATCACCAGCATCACTGGTTACCACATCGCCAGCATCACTGGTTACCACATCACCAGCATCACTGGTTACCACATCACCAGCATCGCTGGTTACCACATCGCCAGCATTACTGGATACCGCATCACCAGCATCACTGATTACCACATCACCAGCTTCACTGGTTACCACATCACCAGCGTCACTGGTTACCACATCACCAGCTTCACTGGTTACCACATCCACAGCATCGCTGGTTACCACATCGCCAGCATTACTGGATACCGCATCACCAGCATCACTGATTACCACATCACCAGCTTCACTGGTTACCACATCACCAGCTTCACTGGTTACCACATCACCAGCTTCACTGGTTACCGCATCGCCAGCATCGCTGTTTACCGCATCACCTGCATCACTCCACTCTTCTGACTCCTCCCATTTCTCACTCTCTCCCTCACTCTCTTTTCCTTCCTTCCCATCGCTCCTCTCCCCATCACTCTCACTCCTCCCGCTTCCATCTCTCCCCTCCTCCATCTCTATCCCCCTCAAATCTTGCCACTCACTTTGATCCATTCTTCTCTCCCGCAGTCTCAGGCGAATCAGGGCTGGCACCTGAACCAACAGAGACAGCACCTGAAGGAAGTGCAACAGTGACAGAACCTGACGGCAACATGACAGACACGGCACCTGAAGGTAGCACAACGGAAACAGCACCTGACGGCAACACGACAGAGACAGCACCTGAAGGAAGCACCTCAACAGAGGCAGGGCTTTTCCCAGGTACCATATCAGGTTCCACATCAGGTGCTGCATCAGGTGCAACATCAGGTTCCACATCAGCTGCTGTGTCAGGTGCTGTAACAGATGCCAAATCAGGTGCTGTATCAGGTGCCATGTCAGGTGCCATATCAGGTGCCGCAGCAGGTGCCGCAACAGGTGCCGCAGCAGGTGCCGAATTGGGTGCTCTATCAGGTGCTGTGTCAGGTGCCCTGTCAGGTGAGCTGCTAGCGGGAACCGACCGTAACTCCAAAACCGGCCTCTCAGATGGACTTGCAGCCTCCGGCCCAGCACGTGCCACGTCAGCAGGGATGGCAGCAGCAGCAACGGAGTGTGGCACAGCAGCAGAAGCGGTGAGAGCAGGAGTGTGTTGAGAAGCGGTGAGAGCAGGAGTGTGTTGAGAAGCGGTGAGAGCAGGAGTGTGTTGAGAAGCGGTGAGAGCAGGAGTGTGTTGAGAAGCGGTGAGAGCAGGAGTGTGTTGAGAAGCGGTGAGAGCAGGAGTGTGTTGAGAAGCGGTGAGAGCAGGAGTGTGTTGAGAAGCGGTGAGAGCAGGAGTGTGTTGAGAAGCGGTGAGAGCAGGAGTGTGTTGAGAAGCGGTGAGAGCAGGAGTGTGTTGAGAAGCGGTGAGAGCAGGAGTGTGTTGAGAAGCGGGAGAGGTACCAAAAGAGCCTCCGAGAATGAGGGGGCTCTTCTGGTACCTCGGAACCTCTTCCTCTTCTGCCCATGACCCAACGCCTCCAGTGGTTCGATCGTGAGGCAGCGCAGCAGGGCTGGCGAGCGGCAGTGCCAAAGACTCGCTGCCAGAGGCAAACGAGAATGGGCTGTGCGGCCGTTGAAACCCTTCACGCTCTCCCTTCCCTTCAAGCCCCTCACGCCCCTCATCCCTTACGTTCTCCTCAACCTCCTGCCCCTCCGTCTCTTCCTCCCCGGAATCCACCTCAGATCTTTTCTCCGCATCCTGCCCCTCCTGTCCCCCTTTCATCTCCTCCTCTCCTTGCTTCTCCTGCGCCTCCCGCCCCTCCTGCTCCTGCTGCTGCTGCTGCATCTCCTGCTGTTGCTGCAGTGCTAGACTGACAGCTGCACTATCCAGAGGCACACCTACGCCTGCACTCGTTGGAGTGGCGGAGGGCAACGGAGAGAGAGCGGCATAGGGGCTGGCAGAGGGGAGAGGGGAGGCGGCGGGGAAGGGGGACTGGGTGGCTGCTAGCTCCATGCTGCTCCACTCCTCCTCGCTCATGTCACTCCACTCGTCCTCCCCCTCCTCCTCTCCCTCTCCCCCTTCCTCCTCCTCCTCCTCGCTCTCTACCTCCTCCTCCTCCTCCCTCTCCTCATCTCTCTCTTGCTCCACCACGTCCTCCTCCTCGCTCTCAACCTCCTCCTCCTCTCTCTCCACCTCCTCGTCCTCCCTCTCTACCTCCTCGCTCTCAACCTCCTCCTCCTCCCTCTCTACCTCCGCCTCCCTCTCCACATCCTCCTCCTCCTTGTCCTTTGCTCCCTTTTCTTCCTCGTCTTCTCTCTCCTCTCTCAGCCCCTTCTCCTCCTCTCTCTCTTTGCTCCCCTCTCTCTCGCCCCCTCTCTCCTCTCTCTCATCCACTATCTCCTCCCTCTCATCCACTATCTCCTCTCTCTCCTCCACCATCACCTCTTTCTCCTCCCTTATCTCCTCTCTCCCCTCCTCACTCCGCCCGTCCAACTTGACAGCAACACTGGCAGCAACACTGGCAAAAGGACCGCCTGCTCTCACACCACTCGCCCCCAGCACCTCGCCCCCATCCCTCGTTCCACCCACATCCCACACCTCACTCTCCCTAGTCCACTCACTTGACCACCCCTGTACTCCCACCCCCCCATCACCCACATCTCTGCTCCAATCCAGCTCCTCACATGCTCCCACGCCATCACCCATGTCATAAACATACGCATCCTCGCCAATCTGCCTCATTGCCCCATCGTCGCCTGCTGCTGAAGTACCCATCCCATCATTGCCCACCCCCGCCACATTCGCAGCCATCGCTCTGCCTGCTGCTGCTGCTGCTGCTGCTGCTACCTTCCCTTCATCCTGTTGCTGCTGCTGCTCACCTGTTTGCTCAACTACCTGAGCATTCACCTGATCATCCACCTGACCCTCTTCTTCCCGCACCTGCACCACCTGCTGCTCCTCTGCCAGCTCCTCCGACCAATCAGGATCCGCCACGTGTTCAGAGGCCATCGTCACCTGCTGCAGAGGGGATACGATGCTGGTAACCCAGCTTGTCCCATCCTCCTCCCCATCACTCTCCACAACACTCCTTGCACCATCGCCACTCACGGTCTCGGGTGCTGGTGCTATTCCTTCTTCTTCCTTCTCCTCTGCCTCTGCCTCTCCCTCTGCCTCAGGCCATGCGTCACTCTCACTGCTCCACACATCCACACCATCTTCCTCACGCTCCTGCTCTCCAGCCTCTCGTTTCTCACTCTCCTGCCCTTCCATCCCTCGCTCCTCACTCCCGTTTTCTTGAGCCTCTTGGTCCTCGCTCCCTTGCTCCACGTCACTTAACCCCTCCACACCACTCCAGCTCTCCATTGCACCACTTTCCACTACTCCACTCTCCATTACCCCACTCTCCACTACTCCACTCTCCTCCACTACCCAACTCTCCTCCACTACCCCACTCTCCTCCATTTCCCCACTCATCCTCTCTTCCTCCCTATCACTCGCACCACTCCCCGAACCACCGTCATAGCTGTCCCCATCCGACCTAGGGCTGCTGACACTGCTCCTCCTGCTTTCCTTGCTAACACTGCTCTCCCTGCTCTTCCCCTTGCTTTTCTTGCTGACACTGCTCCCCTTGCTTACACTGCTCCCCCTGCTTACACTACTGCCCCTGCTGTGCTTGCTCTCGCTGCCACTCAAACTGCCTGTTGTGCTACCAACTCTGCCCACAGCGGCTGAATTATCCCCACTCGCTCCACTGAGCGAGTCCTGAGTCATCTCAGAACGCTCACTAGCAGATGTCTCCTCGCTCTTTGCAGCACTGAACGCATCACTTTTGCTGCTACTGCTGCGAGCATGGCTGCTTGCACTCCTGCTGTGTGTGCTGCTGTGCTGACTGTGCGAGCTGCTGCGCTGACTGTGCGAGCTGCTGCGCTGACTGTGCGAGCTGCTGCGCTGACTGTGCGAGCTGCTGCGCTGACTGTGCGAGCTGCTGCGCTGACTGTCAATGCTGCTCTGTTGGCTGTGCACGCTACTGCTTACACTCACTGCACTGCTATGTTTGGAACTCGTGCTGCTGTATTTGCTATGGCTTCTGCTGCTTCTGGGACTCTCACTCCCTCCCTCACTCATCCCCTCACTCACTCCCTCACTCGCTGCCTCACTCACACCCTCACTCGCTACACTCTCAGTGTCATCCTTCGCACTACTGCCTTCGCTGTGACTTCCACTCACACTATCTTTTCCACTCCCCTCGTTTTCACTAAGGGTCACACTTTCCCCATCACTCTCGCTCTTACTACGCATTTCACTCTCACGATCACTAACATGCTCACTCTCATTATCACTCACACTCCTCCCCACACTCTCATGCACACTCTCATGCTCACTCAAAGTCTCCACCACTCTCTCACGCTCACTGCCACTCCTCTCTCTCACGCCACTGCTATCAGAGCTGCTCCTCATGCTGTTGGCTTGCTCGCTCGCTCGTTCGATCCCACTCTGACTCCTACCACCTGCAGCACTGTCAGCAGCGCTGCTTTTGACACTGCCAGTAACACTGCTTGTAGCACTTTCGGTAGCAGTGCCGGTGGCACTGTGCTTGCTCCTCTTCTCACTCCAACTGCCACTATCACTCTTGCTCAAGCTCCCTCTCTCACCCTCACTCCCTTCCTCACTCGCTTTCTCACTCCCGCCAACACTTGCTGTCTCTACCTCTCTCTCAACCAGATGGTCACCTTCTTGCTCACTCACACTGCTCCTCCCCGACCGCTTGCTGCCATCCCTACTCACACTCCCCCTCCTAACCCTCCTCTCACTCCCTTCCAAGCTCAGTCCCTCACTCACACTCTCAGCCACGCTCTCCCTCGCCACACTCTCATCTCTGCTCCTACTGCTTGGACCGCTGCTGTGACTCCTCCTCCTCGCACTCCTGCTCCTACTGCTATGTCTACTGCTGTGTCTGCTGCTATGTCTGCTGCTGTGTCTGCTGCTGTGTCTGCTGCTGTGTCTGCTGCTGTGTCTGCCGCTGTGTCTGCCGCTGTGTCTGCTGCTGTGTCTGCTGCTGTGTCTGCTGCTGTGTCTGCTGCTGTGTCTGCTTCTGCTTCTGCTTCTGCTGTGGCTCAAATGTCTCCTGTCTCTGCGTTTGCCACTGCTGATGCTGCTCCCAAGGCTTTCTCCCTGTGACCCCTCCTCACTCGCCTCACTCCTCTCCCTCCTCACCCTGACTCTCTCACTCCCACTCGCCTCTGTCCCACTCTCACTCCCCTCGCTCCCACTTCCACTCCCACTGCTCCCACTTTCGTTCCTACTCCCACTATCGCTCCCGCTCCTGCTTCTGCTTCTGCTTCTGCTCCTGCTTCTGCTCAGGTCGACACTAAAGCTCAGATCAATACTGCTCACCCCGCTGCCACTACGCCTACTGCTGACTCCCCCTTGCGGGCTTGGCTGTGCCAATTCCCTCTCTGCCACCTCTATCCACCGCTCAATCTCCTTCCTCTTCTCCCCATCCTCCTCATCCTCCTCCTCATACCCTTCCTCCTCCTGCTCCTCATCCTCCTCTTCCTCCTCTTCCTCCTTTTCCTCCCCCTCTTCCTCCTCCTCATGCTCGTCTTCATGCTTCCTTGCCTCCTCCCTCAGCCCCTCACTCCCCTCCTCACTGATTTCCTCTTCCACCCTTCGTCCCTCTCCCACCTCCTCTTCATCCTCCTCCTCCTCGTCCTTCGCAGCATGTGTCGCCTTCTTAAACACGACCACCACTCTCTCTCCATCCTCCAGACTCCCCTCCTCGCTAATACCAGCAACCTCCTCCTCTACTTCCTCCTCCTCCACCTCTTCCTCCTCTGTTCCATCCTCCTCCTCCTCCACAGCATGTGTCGCCTTCTTAAACACTACTACCACCCTCTCCCCATCCTCCAAACTCCCATCTTCGCTAATACCAGCAATCTCGTGCTCTGCTTCGTCCTCCTCCTCCACCTCCTTCTCTATCTCCTCCACCTCTACCTCCTCCTCCTCTTCCTCGTCCTTCTCAGCATGTGTCGCCTTCTTGAACACAACAACCACCCTCTCCCCATCCTCCAAACTCCCCTCCTCACTACGACCAGCAATTTCCTCTTCCTCTTCTCCGGCCTCCCAACCCTCCTCCTCGCCCACATAGCTGCCTGTCTGGCTGGCCATTTGACTTCCTGTCTGAATCGCATCCCCAACCACACTACCTAACAACATATCATCTTCATCCTCCCCCTCATCCTCCTCCCCTCCTCCATCCCCCTCCTCCCTCTTCTCGCCAGTCCTTGGCCGGTTAAACACCACAACCACCCTCTCGTTTTCCTCATACTCATTATCAACATCCTCGGTATCCGTATCAAGAGGGTTCTCAGTCAGTGACCCATGCTCAGTCGTAGACTCTCCCACCATCTCCTCTTCCTCTTCATCCGCTTTCCCCTTGGTTGCTGTCTTAAACACCACAACCACCCTCTCATCCTCCTCCTCTTCCTCCTCCTCCTCCTCCTCCTCTTCTTCTACCCCTTCCTCCTCCGTCTCTTGATCCTCATGCACACTACTACCATGCATGTCCCCCAAATCATCATTCTCCTCACTATCGTGTACCCCATCAGATAAGACATCAGATGCTGCACCATCATCCTCACCACCAATACTTTCAAATTCTGCTATTGCCTTTCCACTCACCGCCCTCTCCCCCTCATCCTCCACTCCCCCCACTGTCTCCCTCTCCTGCTCCAAATCTCTTGACTCCTCCCACTCTCCACTTTCCTCCTGTGTGCTAATCCCACGTGTCACAATACCAGCACCTGCCACATCATCTTCAGCATTGTACAGCACGTGCTCACTCAAATCACTCGCCACATCAGCATCGCTTGCCACACCAGCAGAAAGATCCGCACTGCCCCTATCCCTCTCCTCCACGTGGATCTCAGCAGCTCTGGTTGCCGTTTTGAACACCACAACCACCCTCCCATCCTCCTCCTCATCCTCCTCCTCCTCCTCCTCCTCATGCCCGTCCTCCCTACCCTCAACCCCCAAACCACCCTCCTCCTCCTCTTCCTCATCCTCCGCTTCCCCAACCTTGCCACTCACACTCTCACCCAAACCATCATACAATAGCATCACTGAGTCTTGTGATGCACCACCCACCCGACCATCTTCCCCCTTACACGTATCCACCTTGCCGTTCACACGCATGCCCTCCTCATCTATCCCCTCATCCCTGTCCTCATGTTTATCCTCACGTCTCTCTGCATGTCTGTCGGCATGTCTATACCCGAACGCGCCCGCCCCTCTCAACTCCCAGTAATTCCCCATCACCTCTCTCCACACATCCATCCTCGCTTCCCTCTCCTCCTCACCCTCCTCTCCTCCCCTTCCTGCCTCCCGCTCCTCCCTCACCGACCTAAAACTCCCCACACTCCCCCTCAACATCCTCCCTGCGCTCCCAACACTCCCAAAGCTCCCAGTCCTGGCCAGCCCAACGCTTCCAATGCTGCCAGTCCTCCCTACCCCAACACTCCCCAAGCTCCCCACACTGTTATGAGCGGTCCAGAACGGTGACAGCTCCCCATCTAGAGCGTCCATCAGATCTCCCAACTCTGCCTCCACAGACCGAGTACTCTCCCCCTCACTCACTCCCTCACTCACTCCCTCACTCGCTCCCTCCCCCTCGCTCATCCCCAGGCTGGTCACGTCACTAAGAGACCCGCCCCTCCCTCGGGATCTGCTTCGGATGGACGAGACTTCTGAGCCTGACCCCAGGGAAAAACCTCTCCTTCTCCTCCCCGCTGCACCAGCAGCAGCAACACCACCACCACGAGTGACACCACCACCACGAGTGACACCACTAACAGTACCAGCGCCAGCAGAAGCAGCGCCACCGAAACTGGTTGCAGTGGTGGGGGCCCAGAGGACACTCTCCATCCCATTCGAATGCCGGCTGCTAATGCTGCCCGTGCTCTGCTGCATGCTCTGCTGCCTGCTTTGCTGCCTGCCCCACTGTCCACTCTGCTGCTCGCTCTGCTCCCTGCTCCACTGCCCACTATGTCGAGAGCTCGTCTGAGAGGCACGGGTCTTAACACGAAGCCATGGCATTGCCTCTCCTTCCTCCTCCCCCTCCGTGTCCGACTGGTGCAACGAATGCCTCTGGTAATTGTACGCGTGGTGATTGTCGTGGTTATGGGGGTGGGCGTGGGCGTGGGCGTGGGAGTGAGATCGGGAATGGGAGTGGGAGTGGGAGTGGGAGTGAGCGTGGGATTGAGAGAGGTTTCGCGCGTCCCCATCAAAGCTCATTCCCAGAGCATCACGAGCCACAGCCGCTGCCACTGAGTGATGAGTCCAAGACTGTGACTGTAACTGTGACTGTGACTGTAACTGTGACTGTGACTGTGACTGTAACTGTGACTGTGACTGTGACTGTGGTTGCAGCGGCTTCTGACTTGACTCTAGATTCCCCATAGCCGCCCGTGCCAGTGACTGACTGAGAGCATGCGCAAACCTCGCATCAGCTGCCCCTGAACGCCCATCACCCACACTCATTCTCCCATCACCCATACCACCAGACCTCCCATCAGCCATGCCCGGCATGCCCCCACCACCACCACCACCACCACCACCACCACCACCATCCATGCTGCTTGCTAGACTATCCGCCACACTGCTCCCATCGCCCTCCCCCTCGTTTTTCAGAATTCTCAGAAGCGACACCAGGCTATCCCCCACACTCACACTGCTCCCATCCCCCACACTGCTCCTGTCCCCCACACTGCTCCTATCGCCGTCCCTCTCACTCCCACTCGCCACCACCAGCCTCTGACTCCCCCCCACAACCCCCTCTCCCCCTTCCTGCCACGGCCCACAGGCTATCCCTGCTCCTGATTGTTCACTGCCTCCCAGCGCATACTCAATCCCTGCTTCCCCCACATTATCCCCCTCCCCATACCCCATTCCCACTGCTCCCCCACCCCCCTCCCCATACCCCATCCCTGTCCCCGCACCCTGCTCCCCATACCCCATCGCCACTGCGCCCACACCCCCTTCCGCATACCCCATCCCTGTCCCCGCACCCTGCTCCCCATACCCCACCTCTGCTCCTCCCACACCCCCTTCCCCATACCCTTGCATGACCGCACGCCACACCTCCAAACCGCTCTCCGTCCCTGCTTGATCAGCAGCAGCAACGTGAGGGTCAGTGACAGCCCACCCCCTAGGGCCGTGGCTCTGGCTGCGACCGTGACTTACAGCCTGCCTGTAATACGAGTGGGAGGGGCTTGCAGCGTGCCTGTGGGACTGGGAGCGCCCCACAGCTTGGGCGTAAAACGCAGCCCCGTCAGTAGGGGGGGCGAAGAAGGCCGCATGCTCAGTTGGCGGGCCGTAAAACGCAGTTGCCCCTTCAACGGGGGTGTAAAACGCAGCCCCCTCAGTCGCTCCCCGCGAGTGGCCCCTGCTGACAGCAGCTCTCCCGTGCTGCTGCTGCTGCTGCTGCCTGCTGCTCTCCCCAGCCATGCCGGGCATGGGTGTCGCTGTGGCGCGCACACCGGGCATGGGTGTAGCTGTGGCACGCACATCAGGCATGTCGTGCACGCCAGGCATGGGCGTTGCTGTGGCGCGAACGCCGGGCATGGGAGTAGCTGCAGCACGAACACCTGGCATGGGCGTCACTGTCCGGGAGAGCGCGGCAGAAGCTAGAACACGAGGAGGCGCAGCAGCAGCAGCAGGTGGATATGGGGAGGAGTGATGGACACCAGGCATCGGCGTGACTGCCCTGGAGGAGAATGCTGAACTAGCAGCACCAGCAGCACTAGCAGCAGGATGAGGAGGATGGGGAACAGGTGGAGGAGGGAAGCTTGCAGCAGGTGAAATCCCAGGCATTGGCGTCACTGCTCTGGAGAATGAAGCAGTAGCAGTAGGGGCATTAGGGGCACTAGCAGCACTAGAAGCAGGTGCAAGCCCAGGCATGGGCGTTACTGCTCTGGAGAAAGCAGGAGGAGGAGGAGGGGCAGGAGGAGGGGGGAGGCCAGGCATGGGCGTGAGAGTGCGGGAGAAGGAAGGAGCAGCAGCAGAGGCAGAGGGAGAAGCAGTGGAGGTGCCTGGAATGGCAGAGTGGACGCCAGGCATGGGTGTAGTGGCACGAGAGAACGTTGCAGGGGCAGCAGCAACAGCAGCAGCAGCAGGAGGAGCAAGAGGGGCGTGGACACCGGGCATGGGTGTTACTGCCCTGGAAGGATGAGGTGCAGGGGCAAGAGCGGCATGCACACCAGGCATGGGGGTAGTAGAACGAGAGAACGCTGCAGGGGCAGCAGAAGGAGGAGGGAAGGTAGGGGGTAAAGCTGCAGCAGCATGCACTCCTGGCATGGGGGTTGTGGCACGGGATGCCAAAGTGGGAGCAGCAGCGGAAGCAGCAGGCAGAGAAGCACGTGCAGCAGCAGCACTGGGAACGGGCGGAGGAGGAGGAGGAGGTAAGCCAGAAGGACGGACTCCTGGCATGGGTGTTCCTGTTCGCGAGTACGTGAAAGTTGCAGCAGAAGGAGCCGCAGTGGCAGCGGCAGCAGGGCCCGAAGCAGCAGCACGGATGCCAGGCATTGGAGTCCCTGTACGGGAGCGAACAGGAACAGCTGCGGCAGAAGCAACACCAGCATCGGCCCCCTTCAGGGCCTCTAGCCCCTCTACTCCCTCTACTCCCTCTAGTTCCTCCAGTCCCTCCAGACCCTCCAGTTCCTCCCGTCCCTCTAGTCCCACCAGCCCATCTCCGCCTGTGGCAGCCACAGCATGCCAGAAGGGCAGCGAGTGCCCATCCACTGCATGCATCAGCTCTGCTAGCTCGCCCTCCACGGAGCTCCCCTGCCCACTCCCTCCCCCATCGCTCCCCCCCTCGCTCCCTCTATCGCTTCCCCTCTCACTCCCTCCCTCACTCTCCCCCTCACTCCCTCCCTCGCTCCCTCCCTCACTCCCTACCCCCTCGTATCGCAACGCACCCCTGTCACGGCCCTCTCTACTCTCGCTCCTCCCACCCACGCGGACCCCGATCCACGAATCCTCCTCTTCCGTCCCGCCCTCGACTCCACCCCCCACTTCCCCTGCCCCTGCCCCTGCCCCTGCCCCTGCCCCTGCCTCTGCCCCTGTTGCTGCACCTTCCTCTTCCCCTTCCTCCCCACCTCCTCCCCCTGCCATACCAGGCATGGCATCCCCTAGACTGCCACTGGAACCCCTCAGGTCATCGTCCCTCAGGTCATCGTCCCTCAGGTCATCACCCCTCAGATCGTCCCCTCTCACATAAATATCACTTTCCTCCTCCTCATCGCTCCCCTCCTCCTCCTTACTGCTCCCCTCCTCCTCGTATTCATCCTCTACCGTTCTTTCCCCTCCATCCTTCAACTTCTGGACCTGCATTGTCCCGATTGCCGTCCCCTCACCCAGCCAGCTGTCCTGCTCAACCTCGCCACTCATGCCACTGTCGCTCTCCCCCCTCTCACTCTCCTCCCTCTCACTCTCCTCCCTCTCACTCTCCTCCCTCTCGGTCACACCCGTCTCACTCCCCCCTTCTGCATCACTTGTTGCTGCCACTACCATTGCACGCTCTCCCTTCAAACCCAATCCTACACCCTCAATCTCCGCCCCCACACCCTCAATCTCCGCCCCCACACCCTCAATCTCCGCCCCCACACCCTCAATCTCCGCCCCTACACCTTCGATCTCCGTCCCTGCTACGTCTGCTGCTTTCCCTGTCGTCGTCTCCACCTCCCTTATGTTCGCCCCTTCTTCCTCTCTGCTCCTTCCTACCCTCTCCATCTCCCCATCCCTTTCAAACGTGCCTTGGTCCTTTACAATCATTCCACTCTCCTCCTCTTCCCCCTCTTCTTCCTCCTCTCTTTGACTCACTTCTGTCTCCTCCTCCTCCTCTTCTCCTCCTTGCTTCTTTTCCACCTCCCGTTGAATCAACTCCTCCCTACTCTCTCCCCCCACCATTCGCCCTATTCTCAACTCCTCCCTACTCTCTCCCGCATCCTGCCGCATAGCCACACTCTCTCCGTCTTCCACTCTCTCTCCCTCCTCCTCGATACTAGGACGGCCATCTACCTGCTTCCCTGCAGGACTCGCTTTTTGAGACGTCTCCAAAGTCATTACAGCTTCAGCTCCCCCAGCTTTCTTCGTCTCCTCCTCCTCCACCTCCTCCTCCTCTTCTTTTTCCTCCTCTTCCACCTCTTCCTCCTCTCCACCCCCCAGCGACTTTACAGTGTACCAGCGGAGCAAGCTCGACACCACATGACCTTCCGATGACCTGCATCCGAAAAGAAAAAAGGTTTTTTATTTTTATTTTTATTTTTTTTATTTGTATGAATTACCGACCAATTAGTACCCAAGACTGAATTGAAACTTCTGGGCTGACTGTAAAAGGAAGACGAAAAAACGAAACTGAGACACAGAAGAGAAGAAAAACAACTGAGACGAAGTAAATACATAAACTTGGATCTTTTTTTTTCTGAAAAGGGGTAGACAGGCAACTCACTCCAGGAGACCATTGGTGAGAGCGGCTTCTTCCAGCATCTTCATGCGCTGATGGGTGTGAAGGAGGAGGGAGAGGCAGGGGAGGGTGGGGAAAGGGCGGGGAGAGTAGGAGGGATTTCAGCAAGAAGGAGATTATTGGTGAGAGCGGCTTCTTCCAGCATCTTCATGCGCTGATGGGTGGCTCATGGGGAAAGGATGCGGGGGAAAAGGGAGATCGATTGTTCAGCAAGAATAGTGGTCGCTGGTCAGAAAGATTCTAAAAGAAAGAAAAGAAGCTGCTTCTGCCAGCACTGCTACCACCCACCATTGTTGCCAGCAGCACTAGCAGAACAAAATCGACACCAGCACTGCCAGTCTGCCTGCGCCACTCACCACAGCTTCCTCGTTGGCTTCAGAAGCAGAGAGCGCAGGTCGAGAGGCAAACAGTGTAAAGAAGCTGCTCCTGCCACCACCCGCACCAGCACCGCCTCCCTTCCCTCCCTGCGTGAGAGTGGCAGCAGCCCAGCCGAACCACCCCGTGCGACGCTTAGTTAAGTCCCTGCCTGGTTGCCATGCTATGGGGGTGCTGGCAGGTTGAGAGGAGAGGCAGAAGGCATGGGAGTGGGGCAAGCAAAGATAGGAGATGCCGAGGTTGAGGGAATGTCCGAGGAAAGGCTTGGGATAATGATGAAAACGGGCAACAGATATGGTGGGTGGAGTGAAGGCCAAATTACATGGCTGGGATCTCCATTCAATGCTTTCTTATATTGCAGCATATACCAGTGATAAGACATGATGATTAAGTCATCATTCATTCATATCACACGTACCAGTGAATGGACATGATGATTGGGTCAGCCTTGGGGTTTCTCGCCACAGCAAAGACGCGGCTCAGCTGCACGCGAAAAGGGGTTTAGGGTTCAGGGGTTGGGGATTCGGGATTGAGGAGGATCGAGGGTTTGGAGTTTAGCGTAGGGGGGTCATACCAAGCCAAATCAGACTCGAATTTTCGGAAGCAGGAAAAGCACTGGCATGAAATCCAACCGAATGAGGAAGAACAATGGCAAAATCTGAAACTGCAGTAGACGTGCATGAAGGTAGGTAGGCAGGTAGGTAGGGCATACGTATTCATTGGTGAAGAACGGATTGGCGTCAAAGAGAAAGTCCACGCGGAAATCCTGGAGACAGGTGAAAAGGACAGTCACAGTAATACAACCCAAGCAATAGTTGCATCTGAAAATGCAAGGGTGCGGCGGCAAGGTTTGGTTGAAAAAAAAAAAAAAGCGCGACGTCACACAACGTTCTGTCATGCCTCACAAACACAGCCATAAATCATGGTGCCCAAAACCCGAAACCCGGAACCTCGAAGCCTAAACATCACACACCATGCTGTGTTGCGACTTGTAGAAGTCCACGGAGCACAGGAACTGCAGCGCACCCATGTCCTCCTCCGTCATCTGCAAAGCGGCAGACAAGAAAGAATCAGGCAGGTTGGGAAGTGCAGGGAAGGTGAAAGATCAGGCAGCTGTGATGCAGGGGCCCACGGAGCATAGGAACTGCAGGCCACTGCAGCAGTGCATGGCACCAGTTCCGACAGCACTGCATGGCTCTGCAGCACCTTCAGCCATGTTCTGCGCTGCACCGACTAGCGTGACACTTGTTACATCACTCTGGGACACCCTTACAAGTCTTAAAACCATACCATACCACCCAGCACCACACACTCACCAGTTCTGACAGCACTGCATGGCTCTGCAGCACCTTCAGCCATGTTCTGCGCTGCACCGACTAGCGTGACACTTGTTACATCACTCTGGGACACCCTTACAAGTCTTAAAACCATACCATACCACCCAGCACCACACACTCACCAGTTCTGACAGCACCGCATGGCTCTGCAGCACCTCCAGCCACGTCCTGTGCCGCACCGGAGTCACCGGCCTCGCGTCGGGTGTCCTTGCCATCAGTGCTGCCAGCGACACGTCAGCAGCCTTTGCTGCAGCAGCAGCCTTGGTCACGTCAGCAGACTGTGCCACGTCAGCAGGTTTCACCACGTCAGCAGGCTTTGCCGCATCCGCAGGCTTGGCAGCTGCTGCAGTAGCAGGCACTGCTGCTGCTACTGCCACTGGCTCTGCTGGTGCTGCCACTGTTACCGGCTCAGCTGCTGATGCTACTGCTGCTGAAACTGGTGCTACTGGCACTGCTGCTGCCGCTACCAGTGCAGGTGCTGCTGGTGTGCCATCTCCAGCTGCCACTGACACAGGCACTTCCTCTTCTTCCACTTCCTCTTCAGATTCTGCCGATACTTCACTGAGGTTTTCATCAAGACTCAGAGGTGCTGCTGCTGTCACTTTTTCAGCTGCCATTGACAAAGGCAATTCCTCTTCTTCCAGTTCCTCTTCGGACCCCGATTCACTTCCACTACCACTGAGGTTCTCGTCGTTGCTCTCATCCTTCACACTCACCATTCCCTCACTCGCAGCCTCCTCTCTCTCACTTCCACTCCCGACGATACTCCCTCTTTCACCACCCAGCCCCTCCCCGTCGCTGATATGTTCGCTCCACACACTCCCCTCACTCTCATTTTCTTCCACTTCCTCACTCTCCTCGCTCCCATGTTCTTCCACTCCCTCACTTCCCACGCTCCTGTCCGGCTCGCTTCCTTCCCTACTGCTTGCTCCCTCTGCCTCCTCTTCTCCCCCTTCAAGAATCACATCTTCTTCTCCCAGTATACTCCCTCCTCCCACCACACTCTCCCCTCCAAACACACTCCCTCCACCCGCCACACTCTCCCCCCCAGCCACACTCTCCACCTCTATCAGCAGACTGTCCACCCTCACTCCCTCACTCCTCCCCACCACACTCCCCCTCCCCACCACACTCGCCACACTCGCCACACTCGCCACCTCTATTAGCACCCCTTCCTCTGTCACCACACTCTCTCCATCCACCTCCAACCCCACCCTTTCACTCCTCCCATCTGCTTCTGTCTCTGTTTCTGCCTCGGTTTCTGTCTCAGCATATCTTGAACTCCCCGCGCCTCCCTCCCGTGCCACACTCATCGTTCCTACTGTACTTTGTTCCTCACTCTCACTCACTCCACTCTCACTCTCTCCACTCTCACTCTCTCCACTCGCACTCTCCCCACTCTCACTGTCCCCACTCTCACTCTCCCCACTCTCACTCTCCCCACTCTCACTCTCCCCTTCGCTCGACCCATCCTCTTTCTCTGACTCCTCTCCCTCACTCCCTGAGTAGCTGGTTCGGGTCACAGCATCTGTCTCCGTCACACTACCCTCACTCTCCTCCCCGCTCTCCTCCCCACTCTCCTCCTCACTCTCCCCACTCCCTCCCTCACTCTCTCCCTCACTGCTCCCTGTCTCCTCACTGCTTCCCTCACTTCCTTCCGCGCTCAGACCACTTCCATCAACACTTTCCCCCTCACTCTCAACATCACTCTCAGCCTCACTCCCATAATCACTCCCCCCCACACTGCTCCTGCTCTCTTCTCCACTACCACTCACACTCTCCGCCTCACTCGCCCTTGCATCCCCTTCACTACCCTCTCTCTCTCCCTCAAGTGCACTCCCCTTGTAACCACTATCCGCCAAAACACTCTCCTCCCTCCCCACTACCCCACACTCACCACCCCTCCCAGGCAGCTGTTCCGGACCTTCTTCCTGACCACCTTCCAAGCCTCCCTCCAAACCTTCTTCCGAGCCTCCATCTGAGCCTTGTTCGGAGCCTCCTTGTAGCCTCTTTCTTTGTCTCATGCTTGCAAGCACCCACGCCTCTGTCGCTACCACTCCTTCCCCTCTCTCCACACCTCTCTCCACCGCTCTGTCCACCCCTCCTCTTTCTGCTCCTCCAACTGCTGCTGACACACCTTTCTCAGGTGACTCATTATTCGCCCTGGTTGACTCAGTTGACTCTCTTGACTCAGGCCGGCTGGAATTTTGAGAGCTGCCTGCATCACCAGGTACTAAGGCCGGAGGAACCAACACTTCACCACCGTACTTGCCTTTCCCACTCACATCACCATCAGCACCAGCACCAGCATCAGCGTCAGCACCAGTGCCAGCATGGGTGGGGGCGTCAGCATGAGCATAGCCATCATGTCTGGATCCAGTCGACATGGTATCAGAGTCGGCCAACAATCCATGCACCAGAGCGCCTACGGGGAAAACCCCATCCCGGGCCCCTTCAGTCCTTTCGTCCCCTTCAGTCACTTGAAGCCCTTGAGTCCTTTCAGGCACCTGTGCTACAGACAGCTGCTGCTGCGCTCGTGGGTCCAGTGGGTGGAGGACTGGGGGGACGGGAGAAGCAGCAGAGTGGGGGCGATGCGAGGCTGTAGCATGGGCGGTAGGAGCGGCTGTAGCATGGGCGGTAGGAGAGGCTGTGGTGTGAGGAGGCACGGAAACTGGATTTGCACGTGGGTCCATTGGGTGGAGAATAGAGGGGATGGGTTCAGGGGGGTGAGACAAGGGAAGGGGAGAGAACTCTGGGGTGGATGGAGAAGGGGAATACTGGGGAGGAGGGGGTGGGTAGTGAGGAGGAGGAGAAGACTGGTGATAAGGTGTGGGGAGAGAAGGTGAAGGAGCAACAGGGGGAGCGGTCTTCCTTCCAACAGCAGCAGCGGCTGCTACTGCAGGGGCTGGTGCAGGTTCTACTGGTGCAGGTGCTACTGGTGGAGGTGCTACTGGTGGAGGTGCTACTGGTGGAGGTGCTACTGGTGGAGGTGCTACTGGTGGAGGTGCTACTGGTGGTGGTGCTACTGGTGCAGGTGCTACTGGTGCAGGTGCTACTGGTGCAGGTGCTACTGGTGCAGACGCTACCATAGGTGGGACAACTGACAGCGGTACAGCTGCTGCAGGCCCTGCTGCTTCTGAAGGAACGACCGGCTCTGTAACAGCTGCAGCACTGGCAGAAGCACCAGCAGCACCATCAGCGCCATCAGCGGGAGCGGCAGTGGCAGCAGTAGCAGGCGAGGTGCCCCAGAGGGGGCGGAAGAGGGAGGTCCAAGCAGAGACGCCACGGGAGGGAGAGGAGCTGGTACTGGGCTTGGGAGACACTGCTGGGGACACAGCTGGAGATGCAGCCAGAGTTGCAGCCGAGATGGCAGCAGGGGGTGCAGCTGGTGCTGCTGCTGCTGCTGCTGCTGCTGCCGGTGCCGTTGCTGGTGCAGCTGCCGGTGCTATTGCAGTTCCCACTGCCAGACCTGCTTCTCCTCCTCCCTCTGGCACGCTTTGGCTGACTGCACGTCCAGCTGGACGCTCCTGATTGGTCGGCAGCTCTGTCGTGTGGTACTCGCTTGCTCGCAGTGGTTGGGGTTTCTTGCTGGGACCTGCAGACAAGGGAACAGCAGCAGAGGCAGCAGGAGAGGCAACAAAGGAGGCAGCAGCAGGAGCAGCAACGGGGGGAGCAGCAGGAGCAGCAACAGGCGGAGCAGCAGGAGCAGCAAGGCCAGGCGAAGCACGTGCAGCAGCAGCAACAGGCGAACCAGACACAGACGTTCCAGGAGCAGAAGTAGCAAACGCAGCAGAATCAGAAGCAGGGGACGATGGCTGGTACAAGGAAAAAGGGGACTCACCTGCAGGGCGAGGGCCAGCCATACCAGACGCACTAGTGGCACCAGTGGCACCAGTGGCAAGACCAACGGCACTGTGGGGGGTAGACCCTCCAGACGACCCTCCCGTGCTCTGTGGCGTGGTGGCGGCAGACCCAGGCGCTTGAGCGAAGGGGTGGGGGGAGAGGGGCGAGGCGGAGGAGGGGCGCAGGGGCTGGGGGCGCTTGAAGGAGCGGCGCAAGGCGAGGGAGGGTGGAGACGGCTGCAGGGAGGGCGTGGTGGGCGGCTGTGGGTGGTGGAACCTCTGCGGGGGAGCCGCTGGGGAAGCTGGGGTTGTGGGGGAAGCTAGAACTGCTGGGACTACTGGGGTTGCTTGGGGTGCTAGGACTGCTGGGGCTGCTGAGACTGCTGGGACTGCAGAGGCAGGTGGGGCAGGTGTGGCAGCTCGAACTACTAGAGAAGGTGGGGCAACGGGGGCAGCTGCAACAGCTGCAGTAACTACTACAGCAGCGGGCACAGCAGCAGAAGCTTCATCTTCTGATGAAAAACCGTACTCCTGCTCCTCTTCTCTTTCCCCCTCCCCCTCCCCCTCCCCCTCCCCCTCCCCCTCCCCCTCCCCCTCCCCCTCCCCCTCCCCCTCCCCCTCCCCCTCCCCTTCTTCTGACTCATGCTGCTCCTCCTCGCTGCCTTGCACCCAGGCTTCCTCCGAACCACTCCCAACCGAATCCCTTGCTTCTTCTTCCACCCACTCCTCATCCTCCTCTTGCCTTCCTCCTTCGCTCTCACTCTCCCTCTCACTCTCACTCCCCCTCGCACTCTCCCTCTCACTCTCTCTCTCACTCGCACTTCTGGAACCATACTCATCCTCCTCTTGCGACTCTTCCCCTCTCTCACTAGCCGACTCATACTCCTCCTCACCCTCCCCACTCTCCTCCCCCTCTCTCCTCCCATCTCCCACACTCACTCCACTCCTATCAGACCCCCCAAATCCCTCACTCGCCTCCTCACTCCCCTCCCCACTCCCCTCCCCACTCCCCTCCTCACTCCCCTCCTCACTCCCCTCCCCACTCCCCTCCTCACTCCCCTCCTCACTCCCCTCCCCACTCCCCTCACTGCCTTCAGACAGCCCACTCCCATGGGAATCCTGCTTCAACAGAACTTTCAACTGCCCCTTCAGCTGCCCGAGCACCGCATCAAACCGCCTCTTGCTCTCTGCTCGAAGCATCTTCGCCACCCTCTCCTCCTCCTCGCTCCCAACACTCTCCCCTCCTTCCTCCTCCAGATCATCCTCTCCCTCTGACATCCCATCCTCCTCTGACCCGACACCCTCTGACCTATCCCCTTCTGAACGCCTGTCACCTTTTGAGCTCTGCCCTGCTGCTGAGCTCCTGTCGTCTGTGAACACACTCTCCTCCTGCTCCTCCTCTTCCTCTTCTTCCCCTTCTGATCTCCTCTCGCTCTCTGACCTCCTGTCACTTTCCAAACTCCGCTCTCCCTCTGAGCTCCTATCGTCTGTAAACACACTCTCCTCCTGCTCCTCCTCCTCCTCTTCATCCTCATCCTCAATTGAGCTTCCCTCCTCCTCCTCCTCAGTTGCAGTAACATCCTCACTGCCTTCCTCCTCATCATCATCCTCCTCCTCCACCTCCTCCTCTTCCTCCTCCTCTTCCTCTGAACTAGGCTCTTGGGAACTCCCCCCCACCTTCACAGTGAGAGGCCTCTTCCATCCAGGCGACCGCATCGCATCCGCCAATGACGCAGCGCCACCTGTTGGCGTCCCAAGCTGATGGCTGGGACTAGCAGCACCAACGGCAGCGTTATTCGCACTCCTCACACTCTCGCTCTCCTTGCTCCCTTCACTCCCACTGCCACTATCGCTGTACCTCTCACTGCTCTTCTTGCTGAATCCCTCACCCTCCTCCTCAGACCCCTTACCCGTACCCTCGTATTCCGAATCGCTCTTCTCCGATTCGCTTCCCTCTGACTTGCTCCTCACAGACTTGCTACCTTGCGACCCGCTAGTGTGCGACCCACTACTAGCTTGAGACCTACTCGCATGAGAGCTGCTCACACGAGTCCCGCTAGAGTGGGATGAACTAGCAAGAGACTTGCTAGAGTGAGACCCACTCCCATCAGACCCACTCTTGCTTCCCAACTGGGACTCGCTTCCCAGCGACCCCTTACTGAGTGACTCATTAGGAGACGATTCTGTGCCAGGGGACTGGCTTGCAGCAGAGGGGCTGCAGCTTGCTTCAGAGGGGCTGCGGCTTGCAGCAGTCCCACTTTTGCTCGCTCCCGCTCCTCCTGAAGCATCTGACGCTGACCTGGAACGGTGCGATGCTGACCTGGAAGCATGTGATGCTGACCTGGAAGCATGTGATGCTGACCTGGAAGCATGAGAATCCGACCTGGACACCTTCTCAGACCCCGATTCCCCCGAATCGTCCTCTGACTGGCGCCCATCACTATCTGACCTTCCCCCACCAGATTCCGACCCTGAAACCTCGGAGGCAGAAATTTCTGAAGCAGACTCTCGAGTTAGTGTGGTATGAGGGCTTATTGTGTGGGAACCAGAGTGAACACTTTCTCTCTCTGACCCGCTTTCAGACTCAGACTCTTCACTGCTCTGTGAACGGGTGTGGGAGTGGGAGTGGGAGTCATATGTTCCAGATACTGCTGAGCTGTGACTCGCACTCTCATCACCCTCACTCTCACTCCCCTCACTCTCATTGCTTCCACTCCTGCTGCTCCCCCCACTCCCACTCTCCTCACTCCCACTCTCCTCATCCCCACTCCCCTCACTCTCACTCTCCTCGCTCCCACTCGTGCCTGTCTCACTCCCCTCTGTCTCTGTCCCATCTGTATCACTCCCCCTACTCTCACTCCCCACTCTCTTCCTCCTCCTACTCATCTCACTCCTCCCCATATCACTCCCAATCTCACTCATCCCCCGCACACTCAACAAGTCCTCCCGGGTCCCACTGGTTCTAGAACCCGTTACAGTCACCACCTCTATAAGCACAACATCGTCACTGTACCCTCCTCTGCTCCTGCTCGCTGCACTCCTGCTCACCGTCTCACTCCCCTCCATACTATCACTATCCCCCATAGTATCACCATCTTCCACACTCTCTGACCCCTCACTCCCCTCACTCTCTTCACTCTCCTCACTGCCCTCTGATAAGCTATCTTCCTGATACGAGCTACCATCCCTCTCACTGCTGTCCCTATCACTGTCTGCCCTCCTCCTCCCGCCCCTTTCACTATCACTCGGAACATCAGTTCCCTCCAAAGTCAGGGTTCTATCTGCCGTCCCAGCAGTCTCACTCCCCTCCATAGTCTCACTCCCCTCCATAGTCTCACTCCCCTCCATTGTATCACTGCCTTCATAAGTTCTAGTCTCCCCGAGGGTTTCAAACGTGTTGGTTCTCCCCATAGCCTCAGTCCCCTCCATAGTGTCACTCCTCCCAATAGTGCCACTCCCCTCCATAGTACCACTCCTCTCTATAGTCCCACTGCCTTCAAACGTCTCAGTCCTCCCCACTGTCTCAAACGTGATACTTCGCCCCATTACATCCGTCCCCTCTATAAGCTCACTCCCCTCGATAGTCCCACTCCCCTCCCTAGTCAACGTCCTTCCCAGCGTCTCACTAACAGCTGTCTCGGTCTCTTCCAGGGTGAAAGTCCGCTCCATAGTGTCACTCCCTCCTGGAGTCACAACCTCTGTCCCATCCAGCGTTCTGTCGTCTATTGTGCCGCCCACAGTGCCATCCATTGTGCCATCCAATGTGCCGTCCCATGTGCCATCCAAAGTTGTGCCATCCTCATCATCACTCGACCCTGTCTCCTCACTCCCCTCGCTTTCACTCGAACCACTTTCCGTCCCCTCACTCTCACTCTCCACCTCACTCCCACTCTCCTCCTCACTCCCACTCTCTTCCTCACTCCCACTCTCCTCCTCACTCTCTTCTGTCTCACTCTCCCCACTCCCCACGTACTCAGTCTCTCCCTCGTCTGAACTCCCCACAGGGCTAAGGCTTGACTCACTGCCCTCCTCACTCTCCTCCTCACTCCCCTCCTCACTCCCCTCCTCACTCCCCTCCTCACTCTCCTCCTCGCTCCCCTCACTCCCTCCAGAAGCACCACTCTCCACCGCACTCAATTCCCCATCTTCTCCCTCCTCCCTACCTACCCTCATCTCACTCCCTTCTGTCCCACTCTCCTCCCCTTCACTCCCTTCACTCTCCCCCTCACTCTCTCCCTCAGCACTTCCATCAAACCCACTTCCCTCCTCACTCTCAGCCTCCTCACTCTCTCCTTCCATCCCACTCCGACCCTCACTCCCATCCTCCTCCCCACTCTCCCCTCCATCCCACCCCTCACTGCCAACCTCCCCCTCGTCCTCCTCACTTCCCTCCTCCTCCGCACCTCTCTCAATCCTCACCACAAGGGTCCCTGATCCTTGAGTATCAGCCAACAAGCCACCACCACCAGCACCACCAGCAGCACCACCAGCGCCAGCAGCAGCAGCAGCAGCGCCAGCAGCAGTGGGTGAGAATCTCGACTTGTTAAAAACCACAAACACACGCTCATCATCCTCCCCTGGCCTGCCATTAGGCGACTTGCTCCCCCCCATTGCCCCACTCGCCCCACCCATTCCCATGCCAGCTCCCCCACTCAACGGCGTGCTGGCCCCGCTCGTACCCCCTCCAGTACCCATAGAATTTGCCTCCAGAAAAGGGGAGGGGGGGGCAGCGCCATACTCGTTGATAAACACGATGCCTCCGATTGCATCGGGGGTTTTCATGCCGCTATAGCCCGTGGGAGTGCCCGCTTGTGACGGTGCCAGTATCGGTCTGCCCACCCACGCACCTACACTCTCCTCCTCGCTCTCCTCCTCCTCCTCCTCCTCCTCTTCCTCCTCCTCCTCCTCCTCTTCCTCCTCCTCCTCCTCTTCCTCCTCGTCCTCCTCACTTGCATCTTCAGTTGCCTCCTCGCTCTCCTCCTCAATTTCCTCCTCACTCTCTTCCTCGATCTCTTCCTCACTTTCCTCCTCACTCTCCTCATCACTACTATACTCCATCTCCTCCTCTTCCTCCTCTTCATCCTCTTCCTCCTCCTCATTCTCTTCACCCTCCTCCGTCGCTTCCTCACTCTCCACCTCTTCACTCTCCTCCTCCTCACTGCCCTCCCCCCACCCTATACCAACCCCACCAGCCCTAGCACCAGACCCTTTACTCCACCCACCAAGCCCCGGCCCAGGCCGGTACCCCTGCGCAGGCTGCTGCATCACCCCCATCTCTGCTGCTCCTCCCACCGCTCTCCCAGGCACCGCCGCTGCTGCTGCAGCTGCCCCTGGCAATGCAGCTCCGTCTGTGCCTCTCCCTGTGCTCTTAGCAGGCGACACTGTAACGAAGGCAATGGGAGACATAAGAGCCTCATGCCCGTCCTCTACCGCAAATACACCAGGAGCGGCAGCAGCAGCACCAGCAGCACTAGCTGCTGCTACTGCTGCTGCTGCTGCTGCTGGCGGCTCTGCAACCTCTCCGTTTGCTCCTGCATGTGTATGGGTGGAATAGCGGCCAGCACCAGGGCTAGTGGCTGTACCCGTTGCTCCAGGGATAGCAAGGGAAGGAGGGCGAGGAGGGCGCATAGCACTACCAGCGCCACTACCACTACCACTACCCCCACTCGCTCCTGTACCTGCTGCCACAGAAACCCCTTGCTCCCCGTCCCTTAACCCCATCCCAGCATCACCTGCCTGGTTCAAGTCCTTCCCCTGCTGCACCTCCTTCCCCTGCGCCTCTCTCCCTGTGTGCCCGTCATGCTTCGCCCCAAACACAAACGCGCTTGCCCCTGCAAAGAACCCTGCCACAGATCCCCCCCACGACTGCTGCTGGCCCCCCGCCTGCTGGCCCCCAGGCACAGCCCCTGCTGCTGCCACACCAGAAGCTCCCGCCCCCCCAGCATAACCACCAGGGGCGAACGGGTGAGGAGAGGAACCCGGCACAGCAGCAGACGCAGCAGCAGGCGCGGCATAGGCAGGGGAGTGACCATAAGCCGGGGGAATGGGGGGTATGCGCGGCTTACCTGCTGTTCCAGAGGAGAATGGGTGGGACTGAGAAGGGCCTTGTTGGGAGGAGGAGGCGTTAGGAGGGCCGACAGGCCGAGGGGGGAGCTGCTGCTGGGGGTGAGGAGGAGCGGGGGCAGAAGACCGGGACCTAGACGCAAAAGGGAGAGGTCGGGGGGATGATGGTCGGGGGCTGGTGGGTGGCTGGGGCGCATGCCTTGCGCCAGGCTGGGGCTGAACCCCCCACGGATGAACCTCCCCTGGGTGAAACCCGCCCCCAGGCGCTCCCCCTTGACTGCTAAACATGAATCCGTTCTGCTGCTGCTGCTGCTGCTGCTGTGAGGCGGGCCCCCATCCTGCCTCGTGCTTGATTTCCGAGTCCGAGTCATCAAAGTCCTCCTGTCCTGCTCTCCACACGTCCCTCTCTGCCCCTTTCCTCCGCCCCACATTCCCAACCATCATTCCCGCTGCCCCTGCCCCTGCTGCTACCCCTGCCGCTGCTGCTGCTCCTGCTCCTACACCCTGCACCTGCCCTCCGTTCCTCACCTCCCTCTTATCCACAACCCCCGCCACCCCCCCCTCCTGCACCACCCTCTTCTCCACCACCCCTCTCCCTCTCCCCCTCACAAGCCTACTCTGCACCTCCTCCTCCTCCCCCTCACTCTCATACACCACCCAGTCATCATACTTCCCCACATCCTCCAGCAACAAACCCCCCGAAGTCGCAGGGCGCAGCACAGGAGCCCCAGACCCAACCCTGGACAGCGAAACAGGCGTACCAGGTCTGGCAGGCCCCACAAATCCCACAACCACAGGCTGGGCCGCTCCTGCTGCTGCCCCTCTCGTCTGCACACTCCCCTCGCCATCCGACGAGCTCCACGCCCCACTAGCCCCAGCGCTGGCCAACCCCTCTACTGGCAACCCCCTCATGCTCTTACTCGCTCTGTTGATCTCCGCCCCTGTGCCAAAACTCCCTCTGCTGTCCGCCGTCCCGCCTGCTACTCGCTCCAGCATCCCTGCCCCTAGAGACGACCCTCTAGGCGATCTTTTCCCTAACCGGGATCTCCCGGACTTGCCCGCGCTGCTGGGCCGAGGTGCCCCGTGCCACATCCCGCCCCTCGTTCTCCCTGCTACGTTACCCGCCCCATGCTGCTCCCCTATCTCAGACACAGGACTCATGCCTCCGCCTCTCGATCCCTGACTCGCCAAACTCCCCGCTTTGAACGACCCTGCTTCCTCCCCGCCTCGCCCTCTCCCCCACGAGTCCCCCAACCCGCCCTCCAGCCGCCCACTCATTGTCTCCGAGTCATCACTCGAATCTGACTCCACCAGCTGGTCCCGATCCGCGCCAGAGTGGAAGATCCAACGGTCACCGCTGCCCGTGGCGGCGCGCTGCAGGAGATTGCTACTGGCGGGCGCGGAGAGGGCAGCAAGGCCACTGCTGCTGCGGAGGGGCTGAGGGGGAAGACCGCTGGTGCTGCGGTAGGGAAGGGGGGGAAGCTCGCTGTTGCTGCGCATGGGAGGCATACCAGTAGTGCCGCCGGGACCATGACCTGGTAGGGGCTGCTTCGACCATGACTGCTGCTGCTGCCGCTGCTGCTGCTGCTGCTGCTGCACCTGCTGCTGCTGCAGGAGCGTATCCCTATCTCTGCCACTCCCGCTACTGCCACTGCTTCTCCCCATGCTTCCGCGCCCCTGGCTCCCCTGCCTCCCACTCCCCCCAGAAACCTCCGCACCGAACCCTCCTTCGTGTTGCTCCCCTGATCCAAACGCGCCCTCCCCCACCCTGTTCCGCTTCGCCTTCGCCTCCCGCCTGCTCCCCCCTTCACCTGCAGACACCGGCGAGCTCCCACCTAGCGGAGTCCCAGGGGTGGCTCGTTTCGACCCTCCACCAGATTGCTCTCTGGGATCGTCTCTAGAAACTTCTCGGGAGCCTAGAGCAGCGCCTAGAGCTCCTCCTACTACGGCGCCTGCCACTGCTGCCCCAGCACCAGCTCCGGCTCCAGCAGAAACTGCTGCTCCGCTCGGGCCTGCTTCCCCTGCTGAACCTGCTTCTGCCGCTTCACCTCTATCACCTGTGTCTGCTGCTTCTGCTGCCTCTGTTGCTTCTGCTGCTTCTGCTGCTCCTGCTGTTCCTGCTGCTTGTGCTGTTGGTTCAGGCAGACTTTGTACGGCAGATTCTGAGTCGCCAACACTACTAAGGTCTCTTGCAGTGTCCCCTGACGCCAGCACGGCTGCAACTGACGTTCTCGAGTCTTCCCTCATCCCTTCCGAACCCCCCATCCCTTCCGAACCTCGCACCCCTTCCGAACCTTCCACCCCCTCCATCGCATCCCCTCTGGTTGCTTCTTCTGCTGGCTTGGCTTCTCGCCTTTCAGCCAAACCTGCCACCCCGGCTGCTACAGCTCCGCCTGCTGCTGCTGCCCCTGCTGCCAAACCAGCTATAAGCCCAGTCCTACCAGCACCACCAGCAGCACTGGCACCACCAGCACCACCGGCACCACCAGCAGCACCGGCACCACCAGCAGCAGGAGCAGGGCTAGAACTGGGCGTCTGTGTATCTGCTGCTGTTTGCGGCACCACAACACCTCTCGCTGAAGGCCCCACCCGTTCAGGCAGCCTAGGGTCCGCGCTAGTCGCCTCATCCGGCGGCTGTGCTTCTCTCTTCGACCTAGCTCCCTTCTTCCCCTTCTTCCCTTTCTTCTTCTCCTTCTCCGCTTCGCCTGGGCCTGCTTCTCGCGCTGCTCTTGCCCCTGATCTGCGGGACCTAGCTGGCCGTCCGATTTCGGTGGATATCTCCTGGACGGTCACGATCTCTGTAGAGATCTCCTCGATCTTGACGACCTCCTCTCGCACGTGTCCAGATACAGCGCTGCTGCTCAAGGCCTGCTTAGAGGGGATTGGTCGGCGGTTCGGGGGAGCGGGAGGAGTAGGGGGAGGGGGAGGGAAAAGGGTGGGTGAAGGGAAAGGGGGGGGGGCGGGAGTAACATGGGGCCGGGAAGGGGGATGTGAAAATAGAAAATTGGGGATAAGGACACGTCAAGAGGCGGAGAGGTAGCACTAGCCCACTAACACCCCCCCATGTCTGAACCCTAATCACAGAGAAACATCCCAGTGCCGAAACCCCGCCCGCATTCTACCCTTCCCCAGCAGCGCACCTGAGCTTGCAGCAAGGCGTGCGAAGCCGTAGCAGCCTTCACTCTCCCCCACCCAACCTCAAACTCGCGTTTCCTCTCTGCATGTAAACCATCACCCCATCCCCCCCACCCAGCACCTCCCCAGCAGCGCACCTGAGGCTGCGGCAAGGCGTGCGAGGCCGTCGCAGCCTCCTCCAGCCAATCGTCGTCCGCGCTGGCGTTCGGGAACCACGTCAGCCCTGGGGGGCGGTGGAGGAGGGGAGGTCAGGGGAGTGGGGAAAGAGGAGGGGAAGAAGGGAGAGGGGGAATAGGGAAGGAGGGGAGTGGGGGATTGGGTAGTAGGGGGAGCGTGGCGTCAAGAGCAGCTTTACCCTCAACGGTCACCTCGTCTTGCCCAGTCGCCTTCCGCACTGTCATTTCGAAACCGTGATGAGACATTGGCGGACACGAGACAGGAGGAGAGAGACGACCAGATGAGGTAAGCGCAACGGCGCTCAAAGACTAAGCGCAAAACGTAATCAGAAGCGGAATCACAAGAGCACGCTCGTAGTAACCAGAGTAGCATATCGGTCTATACAAAATCTCGAATCCGCCGGGTGCGATAACGAGTCTATAGAGTGCTTGGCATGGCGAGTGTATACTAGAGATCTACGAGCATTCAAGGCAGCTGCAGTTTCCACTAATGGTGCGTCTGATCGTTTTCTTCTGAAAGAAGGCTCGGCAGGTGATAAGGAGCGCTAGTCGATAGTCCCTAGGTCTGTATAACCTTTGAATCGTTTCACAACCTCGCATAATGGACGACTGTGACGGTAACGGTAACTGATTTCTGACAATTGCGTCTGGCAACTGACCTCTTCCTGATGCGTCCGGTGTGGTGGGTGGGGAACAAAGCGGCCATGGCAGATGGCCGTCTTCTAACGTCGCGTTTGGCGGAATCGCGATACACAAGAGCTCTCTAAAGTGGAACCGGCGACGCGAGTCACTGGCTTTCTTGATAAGCTCCGCCTTCTTGCGAGTCCTAGAGTTAGTGGACTGCAGGCGAGTTAAGTCTAATTCATTCGGCTCTTCCGGCCTTTTGCTTTTCTCGCGTTTCGATTCGCGCGTGAGCTGCCTCGACGTGCGTCGCGAACCCCAAAGACTCGTCATTGTCGCGAAAAACTACGAGCATTACAATCCTGAGACGAACCTAAGAACGGATGCACGAAAAAAATAGGCTATCCGTTGCTGCTATGTAAGCAGGCGTAACCCATAAATAGCATAACTTAATTACAGGACGAAGTTAGTTAGGTTAGCAAGCTGAGATCAGCATCAAGCTTCTAGTTCCGTACAATAATAAGCTTTCTCAAGCCACTGATGGCCATAGCATCTTGTCAGCACGACACTCTCTATGCTTCCTGCCCCCGACCTCCTCTCACAGACGGATTTTGGCTCGGTAATCCCAAAGTTTTGAAAGGAGATGCAGTTTGCCCGCCCTCGAGCCTGCCCTGTTGTCTGGCCAGGCCTGGCCTGGCATGGTCCGGTTTGTGTCTGCCCTGGGAACTGCCCCTTTTCTGCCCTTGGGCACTCACGCCCCACGCGTTTCGTGGCTCGTCGCGATTCCGTTTCCGTCGGTGGCACCACGGAGCAGGCACCAACAAGAGATGCTGTTGGTTCCGTCAATCTCGCAAACGTTCGCGAATGATGATTTGTTTCGCAACCCTAACGATGAAAAAGGGGAATCTCGAGGTCCTCACGTTCTTGTCCAACCAACAGTGCATTGCTGTCTGGCAAACCGCTGCAATACACGTTTCATTCACCTGTACTGTCTGAGTGTACTTTCAACACAACAAACATAGGCGGCCAGGGATTGACCCAGATAACTACTTGGCGGGGTTTGTTATGAGTTATAAAAGAGAGTGCGCAGGTAAACGAATAACGAGACTGTGATTGAATGATCTGAGAATACAATGAAGGAACACACTAATGTAGGAGCTAGCCTAGCTAGGAGTAAACCTCGGACGAGCGAGGTTGGGGTGCAGGTTTGGCGATGGAAAATGCCGAAGGCGACGCGAGGAGCCTCGGCAGCGTTGAAATCGGCCGAACGTGCTAAGTCCGAAAATCGGGCTGTACGCGTAGCAGTCAACCCGATAAGGAATTAAGGAAAATTCCTGACACTACCCCCCCCCCTTAAGAAAGGCGGTCAATATCCGAAACACGTCTGCGCGCCAAATAATCACCAACAAGTGACGAGGCGGTCAGCGAGTCAGAATGCACCCACGTGTCATCCTCACTGGTGCGGTCAGTCCATCGGATTAGGAAATCCACGTGGCGACCAGCCGCGTCGAGGCGAACCCGATGTGTCAAAATCTTCGAAGGTTCGAGAGTCGGCTCCGGGACAGGTCGTGCAGTCGGGGCAGCTTGTTGCCTTGCGATGTCGGTCGTGGCTGGCACGAACTTCCGAAGCAGGCTGGCGTGGAAGGCGTCATGAATGCGCCAGTCGTCGGGTAGTAGCAGCTTCGCGGTGACAGGTGTCACCATCTTGATAATCTTGAAGGGTCTACAAAATCGTGGCCGTAATTTCGACGGTCCGGGCAGGTGCAGGTTCTTCGTGTCAAGTAGCACTAGTTGCCCAGTAGTCAAGACGAGTTCTCGGCGTAGAAGATCGGTGTATTTTCGGGAAGTGATATTCGCCTTGCGAATTGCGTCTGCGGCTTTTTCTCGGACTTCCTGAAGTTCCGTCACAAAAGTCTGTGACCTCGGGACCGGGTTGTCGAGAGTAGTTGCCGTAGGAACTGTCGGGTCCATCCCGTAATTCAGGAAGAACGGCGAGTGATTAGTCGTGCTGGACGGCGCGTTGTTGAAAGCGAACTCCAACATTGCGAGGGATTCTTCCCAGCGGGCAGGGTCGGGGCAGTTTGTCCTGATCAGCTGCTCCATGGTCTGATTGGTCCGCTCGGTTTGACCGTCCGTCTGTGGGTGATATGCCGATGAGAACTGTAGCTTCGTGCCGTACTGCGCCCACGTCTCCTTCCAGAACTTTGATGTGAACTTCGGGTCTCGGTCGCTGATGATCGCCGAAGGGATGCCGTGCAGTCGCACAACCGTTGAGATGAAGAGGCGCGCAGTTTCTTCGGCTGTGATTGTCGTTCGGCATGGGGCGAAGTGTGCCATTTTCGTGAAGCGATCGACAACGACGAGCACTGCGTCGTTGCTGGACGGTCCAGCTGGCATCCCCGTGACAAAATCCATTGTCACCTGTTGCCACGGTCGTTCGGGTGGCTCGAGGGGTTGCAGCAGCCCAGCTGGTCGTTGACGTGTCGATTTCATAGCTTGGCACACCCTGCATGAGGACACATAGCGCTGCACGTCGTTAGAGGAGTCAGGCCAGTAATATTGACGGTGCAGTAATTTCTGGGTTTTGTCAACCCCGAAGTGTCCGGAGAGATTCGAATCGTGGACCTCTTGGATAAGGAGTTCACGCATCAGCCTGTAAGCGGGAACCCAAATCCGTTCGGTTCCGGCCTTTAGGTAATAGTCCCCTTTCTGCGTCGTGGCCTGCTGATGATTCCCAGTCGTGAAGAACGGGTCCGTAGTGTAGCCGTGGGTAAATAGTCCAGTAAGTAATGGGTTCGAATGGGTAATGAGTACTGCAGCGGATTGTACTCTCGGTCGGGTCAGGGCGTCGGCGATGTTATTCGCCCCTTTCTTGTACGTGATGCGGTAGGTGAAATGGCTCTCCATGTAATCGAGCCACCGTATCTGTCGTGGGTTGAGGTTGGGCTGGGCTCGCAGGTACTGTAGGGATTTGTGGTCCGTGCGAACAGTGACGTCTGCGCCCACCAAGTAGCAGCGCCATAGTTTGAACGCGTGTATTATGGCGAGCATCTCCTTGTCGTGGATCGGGTAATTGCGTTCGGCTGCATGTAGCTTGCGTGATTCGTAGGCTATCGGCTGCAACCCGTTCCCGAAATCTTGGAGTAGCACAGCTCCGATGGCGAAATCTGAGGCGTCGGTGACGACTTCGAACGGCTTCGATGGGTCGGCGATGCGCAGCACAGGAGGGGAAACGAGAAAATTCTTGAGTTCCTGGAAAGCCGCTTCTGCCTCTCCCCCCCACACAAAATTCCTGTCCTTGTGCAGCAGGTCGGTCAGCGGGCCGGTTATCCCCGCCATATTCGGGATGAACCGCCTGACGTAATTCACGAATCCGAGAAAACTCTGAAGTTCCGTGACATTCGTCGGGGACTTCCACTCCTGTATGGTCTTAATTTTCGCCGGGTCGATTTTGATGCCGTCCCGCGAGATAACGTGCCCCAAAAACTCCAACTCCTGCTTAAAAAACTCGCACTTAGAGCCTTTGGTGATGAGTCGGTTCTCCTGTAGCCGCTTAAACACTGCATCCAGGTCGCGGAGGTGCTGCTCCCGTGTCTTGCTAAAAAACAGGATATCGTCCAAGTAGACGATGACACATCGGTCTAGAAGATCCTGAAAAACCCTGTTCATGGTGAGTTGGAATGTCGAAGGCGCGTTCGTGAGGCTGAAAGGCATCACTGTGAATTCGTAACTCCCGTAGCGTGTGCGAAACGCAGTCTTGTGACAATCGTCGGCGAAGACTCGAATCTGGTGGTAACCGCCACGTAAGTCAATCTTCGAGAAATAGCGAGCGCCGCGAAGTTGGTCGAGGAGGTCGTCGGTACGTGGGATTGGGTAGCGAGACTTGATGGTGACCCGGTTCAGCGCGCGATAGTCGATGCACATGCGAAGCCCGCCTTCTTTCTTCGGAGTGAACAGGATTGGTGCTGCGAAGGGAGATGTGCTGGCCCGAATGAACCCTTTCTCCAACAGTGCGTCAATTTGACTTCGCAGCTCCTCGAGTTCCGGCTGGGTCAACCGCCACTGTGTCCGAACAGTCGGCTGCGCTCCAGGTTCCAGCTGGATTTTGTGGTCCTCAGGTCTCTCGGGTGGCAGTCCAGGTGGCAGATCGTCGGGGAAAATGTCCGGGTACCTCCGAATCAGCTCCGCTAAATCCGGTGGTACAGCTGCACACAGCTTCTCGATGTCTTTTCCGTCGGTGTCAACTGCCAACTCGCGTAAGCAAACAGCAAACAGCTGTGCACCCCTGTTGAAGTGGCGAGCTATAGTGATAGCTTTGACGCACGGGGCTTGGATGTAGTCAGGTGTCCATGCAGGCAGTTTAATTAGCCCCTCGTGCTTGTTGATGCTGCACGATCCCGTTGTCCAGTCGATGACGGGGTTGTGCCGTCGCAGCCAATCACGTCCCAGCAGCACGTCGCAGCCGTCCAATGTTGTCGCGAGAAACTTCATGCTGAAGCCGAAATCGTCGCCGCATTCGATCCTGACCGTCCGTGTTTCTTCCGTTATCGCCAGAGGCGTCCCATCCACGAGGCGGACGTCAATTTCGGGCAGACACCTGTCAAGTTGCAGCTTGCATTTTTTTGCGCTCGCCAAGTTGAAGAGGCTATGGCTGGCCCCCCCATCGACGAACATTTTTAAGTTATTTTTTAACACCTTGCCAGCGACCAGCACAGGGTGATCCACATGTGTATCCCCGTTATTCGGCCGAGTGCGATCGATTGCATGAATCGGAACCACGACTCGGTGGGGATGGTGGGGTTCGGGCGACGGAGCACAGTCAGTAAAGGGCCCGCTAATTACTGACTTTTCCCATTTCCCTGCTCCTTCCTGTCGTTCCCCGTCAGCGGCGTTTTCTCGTGGCAGTCTTTCATGTAGTGACCCGTCTTCCCACACCGGTAACACGGTCCCTTAGGAGGGCGGTCGGGTGTATGGACGGCGTTGATCGTGGCCCGATGGGTCTGGCCACGAAAGCGGTTTCCCTCCCGGGAAGCTGCTCTCGCGTACTGCATCAGCGCATCTGTAGACTCCGCCAGCCGTACTGCTTCAAGAAATGATGTCGGGCGGCCCCTGCGAACCTCGTACTGTATCTCGTATTTGAGGCCGCTGATGTATTTATCTAACCGCTCAGCTTCCGACATATCATCAACTTGGTCGGCGAGGCCCATAAATGACGCCGTGTAGTCTTGGACAAAAGCCATCTGCGACCATGCACGCAGCTTCATGCGAGCTTGCTCCGAGGCGGATACGTGCTCGAAGCGATCTCGTAAGGCTGCGCCCCACTCCTTCCACGTGCGTATCGTGGTCACTCCGAAGATTGATTGTGCCACTTGATTAGTCACTGTTGAGGTCCCGTCTGCCGCATGCGTCACACCTGTCGGCGTCCCTGTTTCCAAGGTTCGGCGCCACCACTCAAGCGCTGCACCTCGAAGAAACGAAACCGCGTAATTAATACGCGTGGCGTCGTCGTTAACTCCTGCTGCAGTGAACAAGACCTCGACCCCGAACAGCCACCCTTTTACTGTAACCGTCTTGTCCGTAGGATTAAACGGGGGCGGGTTGACGGGCTTGATCTTGATCGTCGTTACTGCAACTGGCGCTGCCGCCGCTCGCTGCCTATCTTCTTCTTCGAAGTCACGTGTGAGCGCATCCAGCAGATTGCTCATCACCTGACTGTTGCCCTCGCCTTCGTCCACAGGCGACTCCTGACGCGCTTCACCTCGCGTCTGGCGTAGCTCGGCGTTTTCCTCTCGCAGTGTTGTCACTTCCGCCATTAATGTCTTCATGCTCTCCTGCATTTCTGCCACTTGTGCCATCATCCTGTTAACCGCCTCCTGATCCATGTGCCTAGCGCTACGTCTGGTGGGCAGTCGGGTCTCCGTGGCCTTCAGGCAAGTGAAAACACGAACTATCGGAGTCGGGCAGGATTGAATTAACAATCCCTGCAGCCAACCGTCGTGTAGTCACTAAACCAGCCACACCCTATGCCACCAAATTACCATCGGAAAAGCGAGGTGAACTAGGAAAGTAGCTCTGATACCAGGTGTTATGAAAGAGAGTGCGCAGGTAAACGAATAACGAGACTGTGATTGAATGATCTGAGAATACAATGAAGGAACACACTAATGTAGGAGCTAGCCTAGCTAGGAGGAAACCTCGGACGAGCGAGGTTGGGGTGCAGGTTTGGCGATGGAAAATGCCGAAGGCGACGCGAGGAGCCTCGGCAGCGTTGAAATCGGCCGAACGTGCGAAGTCCGAAAACCGGGCTGTACGCGTAGCAGTCAACCCGATAAGGAATTAAGGAAAATTCCTGACAGGGTTGTAGATGTTGTAACATAATTCGAAATCTTCCTATAAAAGCAGGTAGATTACACATCTAAATAAAATACACTGAAAGCCAGGTTGCATTGGCCACTAACCCTGAAATGAAAGGCTAACTTGAAACATCGACTATAATTCTTCAGAGTTAAAATTAATCACTTGTGAAAGAGAAAGGCCTGGCCAAAGGCCCTTCGACTTGGACCTCAGGGCTGGTAGTAGGAATAGTCGTTCTGGGCACTGTCTAAGGGCTTGATCCCAAGTGAATTGGGTCTGTCCATACAGGGCATGAGGGGCACATCTGGCTTCTCAGCCAGGAGCAGCTGCAGCTTCTGTGGATTTCCATCGGGGCATCGATCATTGGTGGGGTGCATACACGGCTCGGAAACAGCGGGAATGCAAGTGTGCCCCACGAATGTAACATGGGGCACTCCAAAGAGGGATGCACAGAGGTAGCCGAAAGTAGAAGTCTTGGAGATGATAAGAGCATCGGAAAAGAGAGCGAGGGTGTAGATGTCGATGATGGCTCGGTCTACCGATGCCGTATTGGTGGTGTTCTCCTTGTCATCTGCGGTCAAGTGCACTATATGCACGCCATACCCAGAAGTGCCACTGCTGCTCTTGCTAATGCTGCTGCCAACGCCGCTGCCGCTCCTGTTGCTGCTGCTGCTGCTGCTGCTGCTGCTGCTGCTGCTGCTGCTGCTGCTGCTGCTGCTGCTGCTGCTGCTGCTGCTGCTGCTGCTGCTGCTGCTGCTGCTGCTGCTGCTGCCAGTGCCACTACTGGTGCTGCTGCTTCTAGCGTCCGTGCTTATAACGGGAGTTACAGTAGCAGCAGGCGCGGCAGGATCAGCAGTGGAGGCAGTACTATTGGGTGGTGGCTCTTCCTGTGTAGGAGCACAAGCAGTGTCACTTCCCACTGTCACTCTCGCTACAGGCACATCAGCCGTCACTGCCTCTGAGAGGTTATGCACTAGGTTTTGGTTGAGAGACGCTACCATTACCTCAGTCACATCACCCCATGAACCCCCCACGCTGCAGCCACCACCACTACCACTACCACTACCACCTACACTGCTCCTGTCACTACCACTCACTGTTATAGTCGTCTTTGAATCAAACTTACCACCCCGGAGTGCACCATTCTCACCCACACCTCCCACCCCGTGCCCAGTACTCCCACTCGTGCCCCACCCTGCTGAGCCTACTCCCTCTCCCCCTCCCTCCCCCTCTCGCATATCCCGTCCCCGCCGCATATCAAAAGGACCCTGATTTGGCTGCAAAGCCGCCTCCCTGGCAAGCCGCATACCCCTTGCTCTCTGCACGGTGGAGGAGTTGAGAGCTTGCAGCATGCAACGCCCCATAGCGGTAGTGTACCAAGCTACTGTGCTCTCCCTTGCATGCGTTGAAAAGCGCCCCTGCAGGCCGACACGAGCGGGCGCCGGGGCAAGGAGGGTGTGGTAGCGGTGGGTGATGCCCGCCCAGATGCGGTTGCGGGGGAAGAGCAGCAGGCGGGAGAGCGAGCGGAAGGGCATGTGCGCCGGGAAGAGGAGGCGGAGGAGGCGGCGGAAGGAGGGGAGGAGGTAGAGCGTGGGGAGGAAGTATTGGTTGGAGGTGAGGAGTAACGTGGCCGTGTGGGAGAGCCACTGCTGCTCTGCCTCGCAGAAGAACAAGAAGCCAGACGGGGAGGTTGCTTGGTTAATGTCCAGGCGTAGCCTGCGGGAGCAAGAAGGGAAGGGAAAGGGAAAGAATCGGAATGAGGGAGAGGATGAGGGGAACACAAGGATTGACGAAGTGGAACGGTGAGAGCTTCGATACGCTTCGTAAAGGCTATGAGAACAATCCATCCGTTAAGCATGGGTAAAGCTGTGCGTACAACGCATGTGAGAAGGCAGACACACAAGAAACGCTGGAACAAGAACAAGTGATTATCACGGCACGGCACAGCACAGCACAGCACAGAACGCACATTGGTGGCAGCAGCTTGTCACCCGACGCCCGTGCCTCCTCTCCCTCCCTCACGCTCCTCCACTCCTGGGCCACATGGTTGTGTAGCAGCCTCGCATTCCTCTCCCCTTCTTCCTCCGACCCATCGAACAGGACCCACGATGCCTCATGCTCGAATGGCTCACAGAACTCTGTAGCGGGACCACTGCGGGACACCAGCAGGAGAATCCGACCCGTCAGCAGCGCGTACGCAAACGAGGAGACGAGAGACATCAGCCGGTTGCCCTGCCCGTCTATAGTTTGATGGTAGAGCAAGTAGCGGCAGGCAGTGGCATTGCCGGCTAGCAGTGTGGCTCGCAGCTGTTCCATTGGCTCCACTCGCAGGCACTCCCGCCGGTACCGGTGGTATTGCCGCAGTTTCGTTTCAAGGGCACCAGACACATGCGGCTGCGCGCGCTCTTCTGCGGCGTCTCTTGTGGGATACCCAGCGCTGCCTATCGCTGCGTAGCATGCCATCTCGGCCCGGCTCCAGCAGACACCGTCTTCGCGCTTGTACCCTCGCGAGGGCGTCCCTTTTGCTCTGCTTGCTTCGTCGTAATCGGTTGCCGTGGCAAGAGGCGATGGGAGAGTTGTTCCTGCTGCAAGAATGTCCGCGCAATCTGGAGGAAGTGGGGGGGAGAGGGGAAGGGACTTTTGAGTCGATCAAAATTCACCTCTTTCCCTCTGCCTGCGTCGTCGTGATCGTTCTTTGTACGATGGGACGATGGGAGAGCCGACAGGACGATGGGAGAGCCGCTCCTGGTCAGCGCAATCTGGAGGGAGTGGGGGGGAGATGGGACTAGTAAGTGCGGTTGCTCTGATGCAAGCGAGCCAGGAAGCGAGCCAGGAAGCGAGTTAGAAAGCGAGCCAGGAAGCGAGCCAGGAAGCGAATCAGGAAGCGAGCCAGGAAGCGAATTAGGAAGCGAGCCAGGAAGCGAGCCAGGAAGCGAGCCAGGAAGCGAGTTACGAAGCGAGTTACGAAGCGAGCCAGGAAGCGAGCCAGGAAGCGAGTTAGGAATCGAGCCAGGAAGCGAGCCAGGAAGCGAATTAGGAAGCGAGCCAGGAAGCGAGCCAGGAAGCGAGCCAAGAAGCGAGTTAGGAAGCGAGCCAGGAAGCGAGCCAGGAAGCGAGTTAGGAAGCGAGCCAGGAAGCGAGCCAGGAAGCGAGCCAAGAAGCGAGTTAGGAAGCGAGCCAGGAAGCGAGTTAGGAAGCGAGCCAGGAAGCGAGCCAGGAAGCGAGCCAGGAAGCGAGTTAGGAAGCGAGCCAGGAAGCGAGCCAGGAAGCGAGCCAGGAAGCGAGCCAGGAAGCGAGCCAGGAAGCGAGCCAGGAAGCGAGTTAGGAAGCGAGCCAGGAAGCGAGCCAGGAAGCGAGCCAGGAAGTGAGTTAGGAAGCGAGCCAGGAAGCGAGCCAGGAAACGAGCCAGGAAGCGAGCCAGGAAGCGAGCCAGGAAGCGAGCCAGGAAGCGAATTAGGAAGCGAGCCAGGAAGCGAGCCAGGAAGCGAGTTAGGAAGCGAGCCAGGAAGCGAGCCAGGAAGCGAGCCAGGAAGCGAGCCAGGAAGCGAATTAGGAAGCGAGCCAGGAAGCGAGTTAGGAATCGAGCCAGGAAGCGAGCCAGGAAGCGAGTTAGGAAGCGAGCCAGGAAGCGAGCCAGAAAGCGAGTTAGGAAGCGAATTAGGAAGCGAGCCAGGAAGCGAGCCAGGGAGCGAATTAGGAAGCGAGCCAGGAAGCGAGCCAGGAAGCGAGCCAGGAAGCGAATTAAAAAGCGAGCCAGGAAGCGAGTTAGGAAGCGAGCCAGGAAGCGAGCCAGGAAGCGAGCCAGGAAGCGAGCCAGGAAGCGAGCCAGGAAGCGAGCCAGGAAGCACAACAACACCCATGGTTCAGCCCAGACCAGCTTTTAGCAACGGCAGGTACCTTTGAGGCCGTGGGCTGAGACTGTGCCGGCTTGGTAGACGCTGATGCTGCCTGTGCAAGCTACTCAGAGTAGGAGACTCAACAGCATGCGGCAGTGGTGGGGAGAGACTGGTACCTTTGAGGCCGTGGGCTGAGACTGTGCGGGCTTGGTAGACGCTGATGCTGCCTGCGCAAGCTATCCAGAGTAGCAGCTTCAAGAGCACGCGGCAGTGGTGGGGAGAGACGCGCATCCGATGAGAGGGACGATGAGGAGAGACGATTCTGAACGGTGGGGTAGGAGAGAGGATTTACAGAGACGGGGGACTTGGAGATTGAATAGAGGTGGAGAAGGAGAGACAGCAGATTCTGTTCAAGTGCGGATAGTGGAAAGGGGGGGATTGGCGGGACGGTGGGGCAGGTGGGAGAAGGAGGACGGTGGGGGAGGGGGGAAGGTGGGGGAGTAAGGGAGGGGAAGAAAGGGAGGGGGAGGAATGGAGGAGGAGAAAGGGAGGGGAGGTACGGAAGGTTTGAGTAGGGAGGGAGGAAGAAAACGGGGGCAGAAGTGGGTGGGACGGAGGAGTTGAGGTGGTTGGACCATTGGGACGAAGTGGAAGCTGCGTTGGGGTGAGTCCATGCGGCTCCTAAAAAACTGAAAGACGTAACGACGAGGCTGTCTGCGACCCACAGATGAGGGAGATGGCGGGGCGGTCCTTTTGAAGCCTCCCATTACGTCTACCTGCGGGGCGGTACCTTTTGAAGGAGATGCTACTAGTAAGTCCCTCCCATGATAGATCCAGCAGGGAAACGTACAGCGGAGTGCCGCGCGGAAAGAACGCCTTCGCTGGCGCTTCTTCCTGCTCAGCCCCTTGCATTTGCAGCGATTTAAACACGCGGCGACGGCGCTCTCGCGTCGCATTTGTGCCCGCGGCGCCGGTTTCCCTGCCGCCACCCATCCCCGCCTCTCCGCGCGCTCCCCATCTCCCACCCATCGCAACCACCACACTGACGTTCAAAATCGGCGAGAACAGAGGGACGCTTTCCCCTTCCTCGAAGCCAGCTAGCAGGACTACGAGAGCTCACGGGCAGTATGTCTCGTAAGACTGCCGGAGCCCATGACCTAAATATATGTCTGGAGGTCCTACTAGCTATCTGGAGATGGTAAATCATGTTTGGAGCACCTCTCTCGAAACTCTGGAATGTTAGTGGCTGAGCTCGATCCTCCGAGGTTTCCTGTAGCTTGCCGCAGTGTGACCGTCGATTCTGGCAGATTGTGTGGTGATGCTGCGCCGCAAGTCGAATCAACAGAGCCATGCGATGGCCCGGCGACTCACAGAAGGAAGGCCGCTCGTCACGTGGCGTCACGATATCAATCCGTGCAAGGCGCCGGCAATCGGGTGGTTCGCCGCAGCAGCTGGATCGGTTCAGCACCAAGTGTTCAGAATCGTTCGGAATGCAATGGTTTATTCTCAGGGTGACCATTACAGCCGTACGCTGAGGGTTCTGTTCTACCACCACCGTCGGATGAGCCATAGGGAGTGGAATATCAAGCCGGCAGGGTGGAAAAGGAACACGCGGCGTGCGGCAGGAGACTCGGAGACTCGTCACGGCACTCAACCTCAACCCTAAATCAGGAGAGAATCACAATGCACCCTGCGAAGATGACGGGCCTAAGATTGCGTATAAAGGGCCCATAAGATTGCTTATCGAATACGCAAGTCGAGCAGTTGCAACTTCAGCCATGGCTACCTGTGTGAAGTTGGGAGGGACACCTAGTCTGCCCACACACTCAGTGATCTGATTCTACTTGACAAACTCAGGTGAAAGACAGCAAATATACGTAGAATTGACGAAACCCACTAGGACAGCAGGAAAGCAGGCGAAAGATAGAATGTTTATTCGCGACGGTTCGCGAAGTTTTTGAAATGGTTGTGTCACATGGGCGTGTACCGTTACATGTACTAGTGTGCATCTTATATAAACGCTTTTAGGCAGATGTTTCACTCTTGCTCAGAATCTGCTAGGAAATTCCAAAGAGATTTTCCGCCAGCACGCTACCTAGCGTAGCACATCATTGCTCACGTTGTCGAGAAGTAAAGCAGCATGCATGCAATCGGCAAACACAGTAGCGTTGAGCTGCTAAATGCGTTTGGGGACTGGGGTGGGGAGAGACAGTTGGTTCCAGGCTTCATTCTACCATTCAGCATTGGAAGCATGGGAAAAATGTCATATCAGCGATCGCACTTCAAGTGGTGATAGGAAGCACATTTTTCGTGAATGTACATTTATTCAGTGATTTTTTGGTACATTCATTGCTTGGATCAGGGTTTTTTTATCAGAGTAAATTACTCTGTTTCTCTGAAAATCAGAGTGGTTTTTAGGGGGTCACTCTGACGTGTCTGGGTAATTTTTTTGGAAGATAAGTTTTCTCTGATTTGTCAGGGTTCTGATTTTAGCTACTCTGAGAGACCAGTGTACATTTGTGGCGAATGTATTTTTCTCTGTACAGGGTATAGGCATATCGACCGAGCCCCCCTCCCCCCCCCCCCAATTGGTGGAAGATGGTTAGGCCGACTAGATACAATTATATAACTTTCGTCAGCTGGGTACTTTGTAAGCGTAGCGCAACGGTTATAGTTTTGGTAGGAGTGCAGAAGGACTGGGTTCAAAACTTGAGAGGACATTCAGAATTGGAAAAATAATTACACTGACTGACAAGAGCATATTTTTCAGAAGTTTAGTTTTCTCTGACAAATCAGAGTAACGCTCATAATTAACCCTGAATTTCAGAGTTCCCTAGAAAACAGCTCTGGAAATCCGAGTAGTGGAAATAAAAAAAAAACCCTGGCTTGGATACACTATTTACCCCCTAAATCCTCCCAAACTCGAAACCCTAAGTATCTACTGCACATCCTTAAGTGGAGCAAAGATGTGGTTGAGAATACGGGCAAGGCGCACCCCACCCATAGCAATGCGAATCTCCACTACGGACAGGCGAGTATTGAAATACTCGCATTTACTGTACATCCCTATGTCGAGCGAAGATGTGGTTGAGAACACGGGCAAGGCGCACCCCACCCATGGCAATGCAAATGTTCCACCACGGGCAGGCGAGAATTGAGATACTCATCCGTGGAGTTTCATGAAGAAGCCGACAGTGCGATGCGGTGGTGTTGGGCGAAACGCACGGTAAGGGAGGAAGAGGAATCAGGTAAAAACGGTGGTGCAGGTGGTAAGAAGAAAACAGTTGTTATGAAAAAAGAGTAACAAATTTGAATGGTAGACAAGTCAGGGAAATGGCTCTGTTCTGTTGGTATGCATTGCAAGAAATGTCGGAAACACCGCAAGTCATTTTTGCAAGCATCGAGGACACGAAAATGCCACCGCCTAACATGAAACTATTATTCCTTACGGCTCGATGTTTTGCATGCACAGCAACGCACCTCCAAGCACAGCTCCAGGTGTCGCATTGCGATAGGCCCACTTGCATGCATCCTTTGTGCTCTCCATGACATATCTGATTGTCAGAGGTGGTGCAAATAGGTGCCAGGAGATGCGATGAGATACACAGCTGGGCAGTTGGACAGGTGGAGTGATTGTGCACTAGTTACAGGTGAGTATTGTTGGAAACAATCGATCTTAAGCGCCTCTGTCGTGTCGAAACACTAAGGCACAAACGAAGCGAAGCATATCGAAGCACCGGCGAGTCAACCCTCGGAGGTTGAAAGTAACTGTTGGAGGTTACGCAAAAGTCAAAGGTCAGCGACCTTTGACCTGACAAGTACAGCGCGACAGCAAGGACACACAACTGACTCGCTACAGATCAGTTGCCCGAGTCGTCACTGTATCGAACCGCAACAGCAACAGTAAAGTGGTTACAACCGTACCTCTTCATATTCCTTGTACTCTTATTGTCAGAATATTATGCTCTAGCCTGTAGTGGGGTGCTCTATAGCGAGTACAACCCTTCTAGGGTTTGCTATTTGTATCCTCATTCTTGCTAGTGCAATCCTCCTCTTCTTCCTACTATTTTCACATGCTATCAGAGCAGGTCGATCCCCTTGGATCGATCCTGTGGGTGGGCTCACCACCTCGTTGCTTCCGCTGCAACTTCCACTGCTACCCTCTGTGCCGCACGCCCCGTGGCGTGCGGCAGGCGCGCGGCGGGCTTCTGCCCCGTCACTCGGCGCGTCGCCCTCGGGAGGCGCTGCGACGGGCGACGAAGACCCGCGCGTCGCCCCCCGTCGCCCGTCGTGGCCTGCGCACGGCCCGTACAGGCTGCGCGCGGCCCGTAAGGGCTGCGCCAGGCCCGGACGCGGCCCGTACGGGCTGCGCCAGGCCAGCGCGCGGCCCGTACGGGCTGCGCCAGGCCCGCGCGCGGCCCGTACGGGCTGCGCCAGGCCCGCGCGCGGCTCGGGCCGCCTGCGCGCGGTTCGGGCGGCTGTGCCAGGCCCGTGGGCGGCCCTTTCTTCGCTGCCCCTGCCCTCCCCGCTGTCCCCCGTGCTTCTACTGGCGCCCCACCCCTCCTACAGCCCGTTCTCCTGAATTAGGGTTTGGGGGTGAGGGGTATGGGGGTGAAGCCACTGTGTGCCGTTCCCTGCTCCTCCTCCTCCTCCGCCTCCCTGTGCTGCAGCTGCCGCTGAGGGGGGGTGGACTTGTTGGAGCCGTTGGAGTGGTACTAAGGGGGGGTGAAGGGGGAGTGGAGCTAGCGGTGTAGCAGCGGGTGTGTGTCAGGGGGAGTGGGATAGTTTGGGGAGGTTGAAGGGGGTGGCCGCCGTGAAGCCAGCAGCTCCAGTCGCCCGTGAGACCGTTGCGCCAGTCGCCCGTGAGCCCGTTGCGCCAGTCGCCCGTGAGCCCGTTGCTCCAGTCGCCCGTGAGTCCGTTGCTCGTCTGCCGCTACTTTTAGCCGCGGAGCCAGTTACTCCAGTAGCCCGTGTGCCAGTTGCTCCAGTTGCCAGTGTGCCAGTTGCTCCAGTTGCCCGTGTGCCAGTTGCTCCAGTTGCGCCGTGTGCCAGCAGCTTCAGCTGCCGCCCACTACCTCCTCTCCTCTCATAGTCTCTTTCCTCCTCCTCACTTGCCCGTTGTGACTACCACTAGCTTTGCTCATAATTGTGAACTTTAAACTATTGCTTCTTGAACTTGTGCTCAGAATGTGTGGTGACATTGTGATCCACCCTGAGCTTGTACTGCTTTGCTTGCTCTGCTGATTACACCCCACTTTGGCTATGGGGGTGTGTCAGAATATTATGCTCTAGCCTGTAGTGGGGTGCTCTATAGCGAGTACAACCCTTCTAGGGTTTGCTATTTGTATCCTCATTCTTGCTAGTGCAATCCTCCTCTTCTTCCTACTATTTTCACACTTATATAATCTTGTATCTCTTTGTTTTAATCAATCTACTTTGCCCTCATATACTAGCGCAAGGTGGTTCAACTACTTCATTAAAAGCTTCCGCTATTACATCAGTCCTACCCAGAGTTCACCCCTGCAAAGATCCTAAGGGCTTTTTCTCAGCCCAACAAGTATGCTGAGGGGATGCGATTTTCCGCTGTCCATGGCATATCTGATAGTGAGCAGAGATAAGAGCAGGTGCGAGGATGTTCGAGGAGGTGCGAAGGTGCGAGGAGGTGCAAAGAGGTACGAGGAGATACAAGAAGCAAGAAGAAACAACAGAGGGTCAATTCAAGACCAAGAATTACGGAGTCAGACCCGCAAGAAATGTAAGGCAGACTTATCAGTAGTGCGCAACCTGCAGTTGCACAAACAGAAGAACCACTGAGTTTAAATACGAGTTAAGGTTTATGCATAGTTGCACAAACACAAGAACCACTGAGTTTAGAGAACTGAGTTAAAAATAACGCACAGTTGCATGAACAGAAGAGAAGGCAGAGCAGAGACTTAAGAATGAAAACAGTGTGGAATGAAAACAGTGTGGGACAAGGTACATCAGAACAGACTTGACATTACAAGACACAGTGTCCTCCTATTGGACAAGGATATGGAGAGCAGAGGCACTTACACAGCTGGACATGCAGCAATTCGGGCAGGAGCAAGGTTTGGTGTTGCTTCAGCAGCTGCGTAATCATCAGTAAACATAACATCAGACAGGTCACTTACACAGCTGGGCAGGTAGCAGCTTGAGCAGGAGAAACGACCAATGCTGATTTAGCAGCAGCAGCACCATCAGCAGCAGCACCATCAGCAGCAGCACCATAAGAGGCAACGACCCCATGGCAGGAGGCCCAGGCAGGAATGTGAGGGAGCCAGTCAGAGGCAAGTTGGTGGCGAGATAAGTGGCACTTATACAGCAGGGAAGGCAACAGCTTCAGCAGGAGAAGCACCCATAGCCTCAGCAGCTCAGCAGCTTCAGGAGCAGGAAAAACGATATCTCCAGGGCAGGAGGCCCATGTAGGGATGAGGGGGCGCCAGAGGCGAGTTGGTGGAGAGAGAAAAGGCACTTACACAGCTGGGCAGGCAGCAGCTTCAGCAGGAGAAATGGCCGATGCTGATTCAGCAGCAGCAGCAGCAGCATAAGAACGATTATCCTCAGGGCAGGAGGTCCAGGCTGGAATGAGCGTGCGCCGATCAGAGGCGAGTTGGTGGGCGATATGATGCAGCATGGCGGTGCTGCTGCCGTCGTAGCACAGATGGATGGCTGTGGCTATGATGTAGCTGTCCCATACCTGGAGTGGAGAGCAGTGGAGAGGTGTGGAGGGGAGTAGAAATGGGTGGAGTGGGGTAGAGAGGGGTGTAGAGGGTGAAGGACCCCAAAGACACGAGGGCCAATGTGATGGTGGTGTGGCTGTCGTTGTAGCACATGCGTACCACCATGCTGCACCTCGTCGACCAATAAACCCCTTCCCACCCCTCTCCACCCCTCTCCATGGCCATGGCTATCATGTAGTCCTTCTATACATGGAAGTGTCCTCAAGGAGTGCAGGGTGGTGAAATGGTGTGGAGAGGGGTGGAGGAAAATAAAAAAACAGATGCCATAAAAACACCAACAACATGCCACATAAACAGATTACGGATATCATCCTGGTTAATAGGTGACTTTCGGATCGACTCAAAAGTCACCTCATTACAGATGTCATCCTAGTCATTTCCATCGTCTGAAACGGCATGAATAGCATGGCATGGCATAGCATGGCATGACATGGCATATTGCATCAGGCCAGGATGGGCACATCGCATGCATGGTATGGTATGGCATGGCATGGCATGGCAGGGCAGGGCAGACATACCAGGTGCAGGTCCGTTTTCCTCTTGAACCATGTCACATGCATTCTGATAACTTTAGAACAGCCTTGATAGTTGGCAGGGCGGGCATACGTATTGCATGTAGGTTCGTTTTCCTCTTGAACCATGTCACGTGCACCCTGTTACCTTTCGAAGAGTCTCGAGTCTCACGAGAAAAAACTTGCACCTCTGTCGCTACCCATAAGTGAGGTGCATCCCATCCCACGTGCAAAGGCTGAAGAGCGGCTATGGGGTTATACATGCACCCTTCCTTGCCTCCCAGCTCACCTGGTGCACGTCCCTACAAAGTGCGCCAGCATCAGCAGTGCCAGTGTCAGGTTGTAGCCTCTTATGGACGGCCCACCCTTTGTCCCGTGGCAAAGGTGCAAAGGGGTCTTGAGGGTCGGGGGGGAGATTGGGGGATGGAGAGGCGGAGACGGGATTCGAGCTGGTGAGGTTGTAGCCTCTTATGGACGCCCCACCCTTTGCTCCTTGCTCCTTTGCTTCTGTGCCCCTTGCCGTTGCTTATACGTTCACTCCCCCCCACCCTCACGTGGTGCACGTCCCCTGCGAAGTGCGCGAGGAACATGAGTGCCTCTGTCAGGTTGTGCTGTCTGCTAACCCCTGGCACTTGTTGAAATTATTTCACCAAACCCATGCTCACTTGGTGGATATCCCCTGCGAAGTGTGCGAGAAACATAAGTGCCTCTGTCTGTGGCGCCTTTTGAGTCGACTCAAAAGTGCACTTTTATGTTGGAACCTGCACCTTTTGCACTTTGCTTCTTTGCTGCTTTGCTATCATATTAGTGCACCACTACCAACCTCACCTGGTGGATATCCCCTGCGAAGTGGGCGAGGAACATGAGTGCCTCTGTCAGGTTGTAGCGTTGAAAAAACCCTGCTGCACCCAGTGATGCTCTCTACTCACAGGTGGGAGGACTAGCAAAAGCCGAAGAAGCAGAAGCAGCTATAGCAGCAGCAGCGGTGGGAGCGAAAAGCAAGGCATGGGCAGCACTCCTCGCACCGTCTTGTACCACTCTCTTTACCATCCGCACCGTCTCCTCTTCCCCCTCTCCCTCCTCCCCTTCTCCCTCTTCCCCTTCTCCCTCCTCCACTTCTCCCTTCTTCTCACCCCCCCCTTGCACAACAGCTTCTGCCTCACCAACCCCTCTGAGAAGGTTGCGGCGGAAAGCAGCTTCGAGGAAGGGAGCAAGATTGAGTGGTCTTGTGGGTCGGAGGGGAGATTAGGGGATGGAGGGGCGGAAAGAGGATTCGAGCTGGGCGGAGGCAAGGGGGGAGCAGGAGGGGGTCTGGGCGAAGGAATGGGGGAAATAGGTGAGGAGCTGGAGGTGTAGTTGAAAATAGCGTTAGCAACACACATATCGGAATGATGGGCGAAGGTGCAATCGCCTGGAGGGGAAGGGGAGAGTGGAGGAAGAGAGAGGATGGAAGGGCATGAGAGGAGTTGGGGATGTGGCTTCTCACAGCGTTGGCAACGTGAAATGACGGTGCTATTAAGACGTCTCAAAAGCACCCTCATTTCACGTATTTTTTTCGAGAGGAGCTGTCATCGGCGCTCGCGAATGAAGAGCGCATTTCCTGCACATGTGCAGATCCTTCCGCGTTTTGGGGATGGAAGCGCTTGTTCCAAGCCTTTTTCTTCCGCCGGGTCATGTGGCTGCGCTTGTCTAGGCCTATTTCCAAGACAGGAGAGGCGTGGGAGGGTTGCGAGCATCATCGGTCATCGGCGCTCGCGAATGAAGAGCGCCAGCTGCACTTCCTGCACATGTGCGGATCCTTCCGCGTTTTGGAGCTAAAAGCGCTCCTTCCGAGCACTTTTCTTCCACTGGACCAAGTGGCTGCGCCTGTCTGGGCCTATTACGAAGCCAGCAAGGGCATGGGAGGCTTGCGAGCATCATCGGTCATCGGCGCTCGCGAATGAAGAGCGCCCGCTGCACTTTCTGCGCATGTGCGGATCCTTCCGCGTATTGGGGCTGGAAGCGCTCGTTTCGAGCAATTTTATTTCGCTGGGTCACGTGGCTGCACTTGTCTGGGCCTATTACCAATCCAGCAAGGGCGTGGGAGGGTTGCGAGCATCATCGGTCATCGGAGCTCGCGAATGAAGAGCGCCCGCTGCACTTCCTACACATGTGCGATCTTTCCGCGTTTTGGGGCTGGAAGCACTCGTTCCTAGAGATTTTCTTCCGCCGGGTCACGTGGCTGCGCTTGTCTGGGCCTATTACCAAGCCAGCAAGGGCGTGGGAGGGTTGCGAGCATCATCGCTCATCGGCGCTCGCGAATGAAGAGCGCCCGCTGCACTTCCTGCACATGTGCGGATCCTTCAGCGTTTTGGTGGTGGAAGCGCTCGTTCCGAGCGTTTTTCTTCCGCCGGGTCATGTGGCTGTGCTTGTCGGGGCCAGTTACCAGCCAGCAAGAGCGTGGGAGGGTTGCGAGCATCATCAGTCATCGGCGCTCGCGAATGAAGAGCACCCGCAGCACTTCCTGCACATGTGCGGATCCTTCCGCGTTTTGGGGCTGAAAGCGCTTGTTCCAAGCGTTTTTCTTCCGCCAGGTCACGTGGCTGCGCTTGTCTAAGCCTATTGCTCAGCTAGCAAGGGCGTGGGAGGGTTGCGAGCATCATCGGTCACCGGCGCTCGCGAATGAAGAACGACCGCTGCACTTCCTGCACATGTGCGGATCCTTCCGGAAGTGCAGCGGGCTCTCTTCATTCGCGAGCGCCGATGACTAAAGATGCTCGCAACCCTCCGGCGCCCTTGCTGGCTGAGCAATAGGCCCAGACAAGCGCGGCCACGTAACCCGGCGGAAGATAAACGCTCGGAACGAGCGCTTCCAGCCTCAAAACGCGGAAGGATCCGCACATGTGCAGGAAGTGCAGCGGGCGCTCTTCATTCGCGAGCGCCGATGACCGATGATGCTCGCAACCCTCCCATGCCCTTGCTGGCTTGCAATAGGCCCAGATAATCGCAGCCAGGCGGAAGAAAAACGCTCGGAACGAGCGCTTCCAGCCCCAAAACGCGGAAGGATCCGCACATGTGCAGGAAGTGCAGCGGGCGCTCTTCATTCGCGAGTGCCGACGGCCGATGATGCTGGCAACCCTCCCACGCCCTTGCTGGCTTGGCAATAGGCCCAGACAAGCGCAGCCACGTGACCAGGTGGAAGAAAAACGCTCGAAAGGACCGCTTCCAGCCCCAAAACGCGGAAGGATCCGTGAATGTGCAGGAAGTGCAGCGGGCACTCTCTATTCGCGAGCGCCAATGACCGATGATGCTCGCAACCCTCCCACGCCCTTTGTGGCTTGGCAATAGGCCCAGACAAGCGCAGCCATGTGACGCGGTGGAAGAAAAACGCTCGGAACGAGCGCTTCCAACCTCAAAACGCGGAAGCATCCGCACATGTGCAGGAAGTGCAGCGTGCGCTCTTCATTCGTGAGCGCCGATGACCGATGATGCTCGCTACCCTCCCACGCCCTTGCTGGCTTGGCAATGGGCCCAGACAAACGCAACCACATGACCCGGCGGAAGAAAAACGCTCGAAACGACCGCTTCCAGCCCCAAAACGCGGAAGGATCGTGAATGTGCAGGAAGTGCAGCGGGCACTCTTTATTCGCGAGCGCCAATGATTGATGATGCTCGCAACCCTCCCACGCCCTTTGTGGCTTGGCAATAGGCCCAGACAAGCGCAGCCATGTGACGCGGCTGAAGAAAAATGCTCGGAACGAGCGCTTCCAACCCCAAAACGCGGAAGCATCCTTACATGTGCAGGAAGTGCAGCGTGCGCTCTTCATTCTTGAGCGCCGATGACCGATGATGCTCGCAGCCCTCCCACGCCCTTGCTGGCTTGGCAATGGGCCCAGACAAACGCAGCCACATGACCCGGTGGAAGAAAAACGCTCGGAACGAGCACTTCCAGCCCCAAAACGCGGAAGGATCCGCACATGTGCAGGAAGTGTAGCGTGCGCTCTTCATTCGCGAGCGCCGATAACCGATGATGCTTGTAACCCTCCCACACAGTTGCTGGCTTGGCAATAGGCGCAGACAAGCGCAGCCACGTGACTTGGCGAAAGAAATACGCTCGGAAATAGCGCTTCCAGCCTCAAAACGCAAAAGGATCCGCACATGTGCAGGAAGTGCAGCGGGCGCTCTTCATTCGCAAGCGCCGATGACCGAAGATGCTCGCAACCCTCCCACGCCCTTGCTGGGTTGGCAATAGGCCCAGACAAGGGCAGCCACATGGCCCGACGGAATAAAAGTGCTCGGAAGGAGCGCTTCCAGCTCCAAGACGCGGAAGGATCCGCACATGTGCAGGAAGTGCAGCGGGCACTCTTCATTCGCGAGCGCCGATGACCGATGATGCTCGGAACCCTCCCACTCCGTTGCTGGCTTGGCAATAGGCCCAGTCAAGCGCAGCCATGTGACTTGGCGGAAGAAAAACGCTCGGAAAGAGCGCTTCCAGCCTCAAATCGCAAAAGGATCCGCACAAGTGCAGGAAGTGCAGCGGGCGCTCTTCATTCGCGAGCGCCGATGACCGATGATGCTCGCAACCCTCCCACGCCCTTGTTGGCTTGGCAGTAGGCCCAAACAAGTGCAGAGACGTGACTCGGTGGAAGAAAAACGCTCAGTATGAGCGCTTCCTGACGCAAAACGCGGAAGCATCCGCACATGTGCAGGAAGTGCAGCAGGTTCTCTTCAAACGCGAGCGCCGATGATCGATGATAATTGCAACCCTCCCACGCCCTTGCTGGTTTGGCAATAGGCCCAGACAAGTGCAGCCACGTGCCGCCGGCGGAAGAAAAACGCTCGGAACAAGCGCTTCCAGCCCCAAAACGTGGAAGGATCCGCGCATGTGCAGGAAGTGTAGCAGGCGCTCTTTATTCGCGAGAAACAATGATCGATGATGCTTGCAACCCTCCCATGCCCTTGCTGGTGTTGGTGCAACCCTACGGTTTGCACTCGGCTTGTTGTCCGTGTGCGTGAATGTGTGTGTGTATGGAATGGTATGAGGGCATGGGATAATATATATTTCATGCTTATAATTGTGTGTGAATGTTGAGTCATGATGTCGAGTGTGTGTGTCGAGTCAATAGCGAGTTATCGCTAGACGCGTGTTACGCGGTCGTTTGTGTCTCGCGCGCGGTTTCTATTTTGTCGTGCGCGGTTTCTATTTTGTCCTGTGTCGAACGTTCGGCGTGTCGCAGGTGTGTGCAGCAGACCCATCAAGAACTCAAGGATGAGTTTGTGATGAAGAGCCCGAGCCTTGGTGTCAAGCCTCAAGTGATTTCGAAGCTCGCCAAAAGGGTACACCTCAAGATATTGAAGATAGTTACATTACTTTGTGTAGTGTAACTTTTCACTTGGTGTAGGCCCTAGTGAAGGGTAGTTTCGAGACCCTTCGTGGTTGGGGACAGTGTGGCACTGTTCCACATCACTGTACCTCGGCTCTTGGGGTTTGTAGGAGCTGGGAGTCATTCCCAACTCGTAACTCTTCCTATCTTGTGTTCTAAGACTATAGTGGCTGCCATAGTACCGTTCGTTCAAACCGACGCTGTGTCGTCAATTCTTCATCAAATCGTGCAATCTAAATTGATAATTGTAGACGACGTGAAGACGCTCCAGGTCCAATTTGAATCAAGTCATTTGCAGCTGTAAGCAGAACGCTATCAACGTTTGAAGCCACCGTGCAGAAATCCGTCTGTGCTCTCTATCTTTCGTTTTAGGCACATTCAAGCCTATTGTGACTATAACAAGTGGTATCAGAGCCCCTTGGAGCAGTTTCGACAATGTCTGGACCTGAGGAAAGGGGTGGCAGAGGCGCTGGTGGCAGTGGAGAAGCTCAAGCTCAAGGCCAACCCCGTGATTCAGCCATGGCGCCCATGCAACCAAGTCTTGGCCCACCTAGGGATGAGCCTAGGGTGTTTGGGCTTGACAAGTTCAACGGTGACAACTTTGCTGAATGGTCCTTCAAGATGGAGAACATCTTTGACCACTATGACCTGCTGGAGGTGATGGAAGGAACGGAGAAGCGCCCCGAGAACGACCCGGAGAAGAGCCCGTGGGTGCGGAAGAGCGCACAAGGCTATCTCTTACTTGGGCAAGCGTTGGGGAGCAGTCAGATCCGTCACATCAAGCCATTCCAGCGTGAACCAGAGAAAGGACCAAAGGCATGGGCTGCTCTCAAGGGTGTACATGCTCCTGCAACAGCGGCGGTAGCGGTGGTGTTGGAACGGCAAATGGCGGCACTACGAATTGAAGAAGACGAAGCGGTTGAAGAAGGGGTGCAGAAATTCTTCGACTTGTTGACGCGGCTTGAGGGAGCTGATTTGAACTACAGTGAGCTC